GTGCGTTTACTTGGACTTTATGGTAGTTTCAAATGAAAGGTGGCACAAATAGAATCCATTATTAAATAAAAACAACACTAAAATATAGGATTAAGCCACAAAGCATGTGCCTTTGGAATGAAGACAGCTTAAAATGGTAAGAAATTATATGGGATCTCAGGCTATGTATTTATTTATTTTTGAATATTTAATTCGTACAATATGGTTAATTAATGCTTGATTAGATGTAACAGTTTTCCTTTAATTAAGATAAACCATATATATTACAGTTGAAGTCAAAATTATTAGCTTCCCTGAATTATTACTTCCCTGTTTATTTGTTTTTCCCAATTTCTGTTAAACGGAGAGCAGATTTCTTCAGCACATTTATAAACATAATAGTTTTATTAACTCGCTTCCTATAACTGATTTATTTTATCTTTGTCGAGATGACGGTAAATAATATTTTACTAGATATTCTTTAAGACACTTCTATACAGCTTAAAGTAACATTTAAAGGATAACTAGGGTAGTTAGGCAAGTTATAACGATGGTTTATCCTGTAGACTATTGAAAAAATATATAGCTTGAAGGGGCTAATAATTTTGTCCTTAAAATGGCTTTTAAAAAATTAAAAACTGCTTTTATTCTAGCCAAAATAAAACAAATAAGACTTTCTCCAGAAGAAAAAAATATTATCAGACATAGTGTGAATATTTCCTTTTCCTGTTAAACATCATTTGGGAAATATAAAAAAAAGAAAAAAATTAAAAAGGGGGGCTAATAATTCTGACTTCAACAGTATATAAAGATATATTACATATCAGATATCATATACAGTGATGTTAAGTAACAAATTAACCCAAACTCCTGTAATTGAGCAGTTTTTCTCAGAAATTGTAATTTACTAAGCAGTTTAAAAAATGTGTACTTTAACTGTCTCATGAGTACATTTTTAGAGCTGTATCGGTACTCCACTACTTTCCTTCAACCTGCAGTCACTGCTTTATTATTTCCTGTCTATGAGGATTAGAAATAGGCATGGGATGATAACGGTTTTCAAGGTATACCGCGGTTTAGAAAAGTCAAGGTTTTAAAACCGTCAAAGTTTTCTGCAATATCGTTCCTAAGGTATGTGTGCGATTTTTAGTTTACTTTTTTATTTTGTTTGTCTTTTTAGGACAACAGTATCCCCAGCAGAAAAGATGCTGTTTTAAATAGTAAAAACTTTAATTGTTATTTGTTTTTGAAACAAATGTAGACAGCAGAAGTCAATAATTCATTTAGCCTGACATGTTTACTGCTCCAAAATATTTTAAATGTTTCTCAAAATAAAATACACTGTCTCCAAAACTAAAAAAATGTTTTAGTGTTTAACCCAGGCATTTAAAAATAATATATTTTCGAGCAGTGAGCACATTAACATGAAACCCTGATATTTATATTCAAACTTATCATACCGTCAGAATCTTACACCGGCCCATGCCTAATTAGAAAAATCAATCCTGTGATTCCTGTCCAATAAAATCACACATAGAAGGTAAATCGCATCATAATGAACTACCTCAAGACATGTGCGCTTTCTAATTGCAGCAAACTGTTTTGAAGCATTAAAAGTGCCTAAGAAGATGTCCAAAATCTTTACACACATTGACCCAGAGACTGTTCAGATGTCACTGATGAGAGGATGACGGATGTTTACAGTATGGTGACTGAAATAGCCTTAAACACCCAGCAGGCACAGGACGTCAACATGACGTTAGATTGAAGTTGTACTGATGTCGTGGGCACGTTGCATTTTGTTTGGAAATGAAAATCGGTTTGACGTCAAAACCCAAGGTCAAGCCGACGTCAACGTCCAACCTAAAATCAACCAAATATTAATGTCTAATGATGTTACAGCTTGACGTTGTGTGGATGTTACCATTATAACGTCTATCAGACGATTTCGGTTGCCATACCTGATAAATAAATGTCAGTATTTGACATCAGTGTGACGTTGGTTTAAGATGTTGGCTTGATGTTGAATTATTTTCACTTTCTAACACAACCTAAAATCAACAATCATTTGACGTCATTATTGGACATCAAAATAATGTTGTCCTTAGATGCTGGCTAGACATTGAATTTTGGCCACCTTGTGTCATGACCTAAATCTAACCGAATATTAACGTATTATGATGTTGTGTGCCTGCTGAGCAATAAGAAGATGTACTACAGAATGTTACGTTTACACACATCCACATATTATGCATCAGCTTTTCACAGTGTAATACTCACTACTCTTAAGTACTTGTCTAAAAAATCTACTTTTTACTCATTCTTTGAGCGTTATTTACAACAGATACTGTACTTGCACTACATTTTAAAGCAAGTTTATCCTATATTTGACTTTGTCCAAATGCAATAGTTAAGACTGCAATGGAAAAAGTTAGTTGCAGATGTACGTTTTACATGTTAATGTCAATATGATTGATATCTTGGTTACAGGACTGAACAGACTAACAAATTGGACACAACACACTTTCTTTGGCATACACTTTTATTCATTCATACATTCGTGTCAATTCCAGTTCCTAGAGGGCCGCAGCTCTGCACAGTTTAGTTGCAGCCCTCCAACACACTTACCTGTAGGGTTCAAATAAGCTTGAAGGGCTCAATTACTGTGGTGTGCTTAATTAGGGTTGAAACTAAACTGTGCTGAGCAGCGGCCCTCCAGGAACTGAGTTTGACACCATTATAATAATGTACATTTTGAATTGCATTACAAGAAAATAAAGTTTTAACAGTGATGCAAGTCTCCAAATGTGTATATGTGAGTGTTTGGTTTCCCCTCTCAGAACTGAAAATGTTCTGATTATTAGGCAAAGAGGATTAAGTCTTGGTCTCTCTATTGCATGATGGTCGGCAGTTATATGAAAACTTAATTGTCAAATAGTTAATTAACTTTGTCAACATCTGACAAAGGTGGTGCGGTGGCACAGTGGGTAGCACAATCACCTCACGGCAAGAAGGTAGCTGGTTTGAGCATCGGCTGGGTCAGTTGGCATTTCTGTGTGGAGTTTGCATGTTCTCACCATGTTGGTGTGTGTTTCCTCCAGGTGCTCCAGTTTTCCCCACAAGTCCAAACACACGTGCTGTAGGGGAATTGGGTAAGCTAAATTGTCCGTTGTGTATGTGTGCAAATGAGAGTGTATGGGTGTTTCCCAGTAATGGGTTGCAGCTGGAAGGGCATCCGCTGTGTAAAACATATGCTGGATAAGTTGGCGGTTCATTCCACAGTGACGACCCCTGTTTAATAAAGGGACTAAGCCGAAAAGAAAATGAATGAATTACATTTGACAAAAAAATATATAAATAAACCTGAAGTGTGCATAAGAAAACTAGAGCCTACTAGTAGGTGCAGACTGGCTCACATCAGCTGTCAGCTGATAACAGCCATTCCATCAAGTGATCACTTTTGAATCGGCTGACCAAAATAAGTGAGGAAGAGTTTCAGCGTTAATCTGACAAAAGGAGCAATTAATATCAAAGTCTGATGCAAATCTTTTCTTTAAGAAGTTTTTGACAGGGAGAATGTCAATAATTTAAAAGATATTTCCTTTACCTTATTAGTAAGGAAAAATTTGACCACATATTTTCCCAGTTTATATGAATATGAAAATAAAATGAATGAAATGATATTTGTTTTTTGTTTTTTTTAGTTTTTTTTTACAAAGCCATCTGCAAATGAATCATGCACAAATATACTTGTTACTTCTTTAAATAATCTAATAAATAAATAAATTAATTAATAAAATAATAATAAAACTTCCCAGAAAATATGACAATTTTCTCGAGGAAGAAAAAGGCCATGAGCTCAAGCCTTCAGTGTTCCTTTATTCATTATTTATATTTAATTATAGTATTGAACTGAGTAATAATATTTAATAATTTTTTAGAGAGTGCTGTGCCCCCAAAACATATTTGTGGATATACACAATATCGTTTCACTGGAAATATATATACGAAATATATATATACGTTTTACTGGAAAATATATATCAATATACATCAAACAAACTAATCTAGGCTATTTTTCCAACAATAACTACACCTTTTTCTGACTATTTTTTTTAATTTTTTTGTATACTACATTTATGAAATCATTTAAATCCTTCCCAAAGCTCTAACAACTTTCAAAAGCTCTCTCAAATAAAGCTGCATATTTGATATATGTAATTACATATGTTATTACATTAGAACATTTGTCAATTTGGGCCGTTTTTTTTTTTTTTTTTATTAACAATGCTTGAACAATAGCAGAAAGGCATTAATACTTTTTAAAATTGCACAAAAATAAATTTACATTCACAATATTTTCATCCACATTAATAAAAATAATAATAACAACAACAACAACAACAACAGTAATAACAACAACAACAATAATAATAATAATAATAATAACAACAATAATAATAATAATAATAATAATAATAATAATTATTATTATTATTATAACAACAACAATACAGTAATAATAATAATAACACTAATAATAATAATAATTAAAACAACAACAATACAGTAATAATAGTAATAATAATAATAATAATATGAATAATAAGAATAATGATAATGATAATAATAATAACAACCCCAATACAGTAATAATAATAATAATAATAATAATAATAATAATAATAATTGCGCATTGTGTGTGAATGAGAGAGTAAGGATGTTTCCCAGTGATGGGTTGCAGCTGGAAGGGTATCCGCTGCGTAAAACATATGCTGGATAAGTTGGCGGTTCATTCCGCTGTGGCGACCCCAGATTAATAAAGGGACTTAGCCGAAAAGAAAGTAAATAAATGAATGAATAATAATAATAATACAAATAATAATAACACATATATACACACATACATAAATAACGAATAAATAAAAATAAAAAGTAGCAGGAGAGCTGAAGTTCTGAATATCTCTTTAGCGCCGCTGTGGTACATGTTTTGTGGTTACTTGACTTTTATTTTGAAACGGCCAGAACGCCTCCGGTCGTTTCCGGGTTGTTAGTTCGTGTAGACGTGCATGATGATTTTCTGAAGAGACTCAAGAAAGGTGAGGCTTTTCCTGCATCATCTGCACATTTGTGTCTTTTTCCTCCCTTTTCCCTCACATTTTCTCCTTTTTCTGCACGAATGACTGCTAATCGGCCTTTTACTGCGTGTGGAGATGCAAGTTAACTCAAGCTAAATACAGCTAAAGGAGCTTTGTTCAGTCATAGCTTTGATTTTTCTCTCTTAGGACATACAGACATGTATAATCTAATATAATATATTATTAAATAATGTGTTATAACAACTTACAAATAGATTATATTCGATTATGTAATGTATTTTCATCTATTTGGACATTTATTATGCTATTATTATGGTTCTAGTGTATAATATTGTTGCAGTACCCTCCATGACCAGTGTTGGGGTCATTACAAGTAACGCATGTAAAGTAACGAGTAAAGTAACGCTTTCCTTATTTTAAGATTAAGTAATAATATTTGAGTTACTTTTAGTGGTGTAACAGATCACAAATCTCACAGTTTGGATCATGTTTTTTAGTCAAGGATTGGACCATTTTTTGGATCAGCCAAAAAGGGAAGGAGACAAATGTCATTTGCTTTCCATTTATTAAACAAACAGCACTGCAAGACTCTTTTGGTTTTAACAAACTGAACTTAGAACCTGTAATATTAATAAAAATAACATGAAGAAATAATCAGCTGAATAAAAATATATAGTAAAATATTTAGTAGTTTGAAAAATTCACTGTTACTGATAACACTAAATGTAGAAATCTAACATTTTAATTTGTACAACCCATATTTATTTTTGGTCTCATTTTCAAAAAATGATTCAGTTATTCACTCATAAAACTTAATGATTCATTGCTAGAGGATCATTTTTTAAAGAAACACACACACACACACACACACACACACACACACACACACACACATATATATATATATATATATATATATATAGATATAGATATAGATATAGATATATACACACACATAGATAGATAGATAGATAGATATACACACACACACACACACACACATATATACATATATATATATATATATATATATATATATATATATAGATATAGATATAGATATATACACACACATAGATAGATATACACACACACACACATATATATATATATATATATATATATATATATATATATATATATATAGATATAGATATATACACACACATAGATAGATAGATAGATAGATATACACACACACACACACACACACATATATACATATATATATATATATATATATATATATATATATATATATATATATATATATATATATATATATATATATATATATATATATATATATATGGATTTATTCCAGTCAAACTAAAAGACTTGATGATAAAAAATAATAGAACATATTGTTAAAATCTCTGGCAATATTTCATTTTTTACAAATAATAAATTTCACATGTGGGTTAATTATTTTGTCTTCAACTGTTTGCAGTTTTCCTTTAGATTTTCAGACATGGACCCGAATCAAATGGATGGGATTCCCTCAGCTGGCCTTAATATTAGAGATGAGCAGATGTCTGGTTTAGAGACAGACTCCCAGGATGTACAGCCATCCGATGCTTCATTTGATCTGGGGGAAAATGCAGGTGAGAGTTTTGCTGGATATTTACTCCCCTGGAAACTTCTGACTTAGTTACTTTTATTCAATCAGCAAGTTTATTTTTTTCAGGAAATGACACCGGCTTTTCCCAAAAGATAATAAATGTAAAACATCTGAAATGTTGTTTTGCTCATTGTAAAATGCCAAAGTCTGTCATCACAGTGGTTCAGTATTATTATTATGTTATTATTATTATTATCCCCAGAACTGTCTTGAGTAGGGTTGTGTTGATAGACGATAGTTTCGGACATAAATGAATTATTTAGATTGCTCTCTCTCAGCAGCAGTTGAAGGGTGAGCTGCGCGTGAGGGCTCAGCCACATCACATAGCAAGTTAGTTTGCAACTGTTGCATAAAAATAATAGGCTAAATAACAAAACTGGATTTAATTAACAAACAACTTAAATAAAACTATTAAAAAAAAAAAGAAACGACTGAAAAAGAGAATGAGAGAACTCTGAAACCCGCTCAAATGATCTGGAATATAAGGTGTTGCGGTAATACACAATCACCTGCCATTTGTGACTCCTTTATAACAGCACTCACACAAGATTTTGCTTTTACAAAAAAAAAGTTATTTATCTTGTATATCCATTATTAATAGCCTATTTAAGTGTTAAGGTGGACTACAGCCTATTTTTTCAGTGCATGCATTGACTACTCCTGCAAATACATGGAATATACACACTTATTCGTGTTTAATTTGATGGAATGATAAACACTGACATGCACATTTTTAGAAAATAGCCTGTTTATTTAATTGAGGCTATTAAAATATATTTTATTTATTTATTTAAACTAGCCTACATGAAATCAATTTGAAACCTGTATTTTACTATTCGTTTTGGCTTTAACGAATTATTGAACAGATTATTAATAACTTTTCAAAGAACATTTTACTGAGCTCAGGAAAAAAGTGATGCATGTAGATCAAATAGGCTTTTTAATATTAGCGCTATAGGCTATTGCTGACTCGCTGCAGCCATGTCTAAAATTAACTATTTCTGTCATTAGAAAACAATAAACACATATGCCATGAGCACCTTTGTATGAGATCTTAGCGGACACAAATGTGACACTGTTGATGACTCCTTTTCTGATGATTAGACCTGAAGCTGCGGCACATTCAACTGAACAAATACATGGAAAACTTCACCGCATAGAAACAGTCACGTGCGGGCGGCGAGTCCTCCATCTGCCTCCCGTCTACAAGGACCTTAATGCATCCTTGTTTCTTCCGTGCATAGATAAATATCATTTAATTTGTTTTCTTTATATCCATTTTGCGGCAGTCTCGTGGACTGTGGATAATGGCATGAACCTGAAGACACAATCAAATCCTGTGCTGCATCGAGTCTTGTGTGAAATCATTTCAATCTCAGCGCCTATTTAGCTGTATAAGCGCGGTGATTTGCATTGGTTTGAATTATTATCCAAGATCAAACGTAATGCAGATGCAGTAGGTTATTAAAAATCAGCCGAAAGGTTATTAAATATGTTTAAATATGATTAAATATAATAATAAAACATTATATATAAATAAACATAACAAAGCCTCCATGCGATAGTATCTTTTACCAGTATTCACACAGGGGGACGATATGGTGATCTGAAAATTTTGTATATCGCCCAACACTAGTCTTGAGCATCTGTCTGCGCTCCCAAAGAGCGTCTCACGCCTCCAAAAGCCACAACCGAGGCTTCCTCTAAAGCACAGTTCATTTATTAAAGAAGAAAAACACCACAGTGGCAAATCCCAACACACTAAACTACATTTATCAGTCTGATATTTGGCACCAGTTTACCAGGATGTGATGATTTTGTTGTCGATGACTGGATGGAAACGCTGCTTCATTCGCAAATGTTTTAGTGTAATGTAAAGACGCTATTTTGCATTAAACCATTCATGTACACATTTTGGTTTCTTTGCTGCCTTTTCTGTTACGATGCCTTCATTAGTATGGATGGAAAATAGCTATTATTTAGCTCTCAAATACACTGAAGAGTTAAAGGAGACTACATAATGCTATGGTTTTCTATTTCCACAGATGAGCTCAATAAGAGTTTGTCTGCCACCGTGAAGCCGTTTCAGTGCTCTCAGTGTGGGAAGGGTTTTTCCCGAATCCAGCATCTGTCCGAACACGTCCGCATCCACACCGGCGAGAGGCCTTTCCAATGCCTGGAGTGTGGAAAGACGTTCGCGCGTGAGCGAGACCTCAAGACTCATCAGCTCGTCCATACTGATGCCAAGGCCTTCCATTGTGTGATCTGTGTTAAGAACTTTGCCCTGTTATCCTCCTTGAAAAGACATCTGCGTGCATTTCATCAAGGTACAGATCTTTTTATGTACTAATAAATGAATTATTTATCAGTAAATGAATTATTCTCTCTCATTTATAGGTGAAGATGTGAGTACGGAGGGAAAGTGCTTAATCTGTGTCGAATGTGGGAAGAATTTTGACTGCGATCTGGAGGAGCACGAGCTGACACACACCGGAGAGATTTCCCACCGCTGTCCCGACTGCGTCAACAGCTTTTCAGATCCATCCAATCTCACGTCTCACGATCAGACCTTCTCTGAATCAGACCACGTCCACCATTTGGAAGATAATGACAATGAGAGACCCTGCGGTTCTCTGGCCTCTGAAGATGTAGACCGACACTTACAAACCGACCCACTAAATGACTGCGGTGAAGCGCAGTCTGTGGAGTTTGCTGACAATATTGAGAGCGACGGATTTAATGAAAGCAGTGCTCAAATTCAACTGGAGGAGGCTGAAAGAGCTGCGTCTCCATCATCCGAGCACTCTCTGGATTCTGCTCAAAAGGGTGAGTCCAGTAATCACAGTCAGTACATTTACACCAATTGTCCAAGTATCTTCTGTTGTAATAATGTACGAGCATGAGTTTAGCCATGGACAGAAAAGAAGGCAACTAACCCATATTTAAGTGTACAGATATTTGTTAAACTACTTTTCATGACTTTTTCAAAACTTTTCCAGGTGTGGAAAATGCCATGTCAAAATTCCTTGACTATTCCAGGTTTTTCATGACCGAATGAACACTGTAAATAAATAAATGAACACATACAGACCCTTACAGTCTCCAATATGTTAGCAATTACAGACAAAACTACACTCAGCACACATTTAGTCCTTATTTGGGTTCAAAAACAACACTCAACACAGTCACAGCAAACCTCTCATCTGTGTCACCAGCACCAGTCTCTTGCTAGAGAGTAATTCGAAAGGATGAGTCTAGTAATCACAATCAGTACATTTACAGCAATTGTCCAACTATCTTCCATTGTATCACCCTAAAGAATGTTCAAATATACATGTGTTAGCCTTCCTGTGGAATTTTGAATGTCTCTAAAATATTTCACAAGTGTGGTCTACTATGAAATCTCACTGGTCTAAAAATCTCCCTCCACATTTCTGCTTTTAAGGTTCAATGAAATTAAAAGAGATGTTAGTGTATTAGTGTTGTTAGTATTAAGGATATCTATAAGCTAGTATGCTCCAAAACTGACGAATTTCACGTTTAGATGATATAAAACTAATATAAACACAGGGGATGCACCGAAATAAAAGTTCTTGGCCGAAAAAGAGGACAGCAAGGCCGAAAACTGAAAGAAATTATGGCAATTATTAACACCGTTCCATGGTTATGGCTATGACTGTGTGGTCTCGTTTTTTTGCTACCTTTTGACAGTAGAAACAGCCATAAAAGCTTACCGAACCGTATCGTACCGCTCATTGGACATTAAATAACATCTAGAGATAAAGTCTAGCTGTTGAGTGGTTAAGCTTGTCTTTTGACTGACATTTGAGAAAGATTTGATAGTGTTTTAAATAGGGACAGTGCATAAATAACATTTAAGGGTCAATTTTAGGAATTTAAGACATTAAGTATGTCCCGTTAATGGACTTTTGGTGGCCGAATATTCAGTGCATCCCTAATAAACATGTAAGGCTTACAGTGTGTCACTTCCGCCTAAATGCATCAATGTTTTTTTCATGACACTTCATACTTCAGTTTCTCTTCAGATCTTTTGACCAATCAAATGCTCTCTAGTATCTGACTGGCCCCGCCCCCTTCAAGATGTGCTTGAGCTGAACCACTCTCACTGGCAGAGCTGTGGCTGTAGGAGCTACACTATTTCCCATCTCTCTTCATGTTTCTGTTGACATTACGTCAAACATCGATTAAAAATGCACATTTCTAAGCACTTCACGAGAGTTTTAACGTTGTGCCATTTCTCCTTCAGACACTGGACCAGGGTACGCTCCTCCAGATGAAGAGTTTACAGCTGACCAGCAGTCCTCTGATGAAGAAAAGCCATACCAGTGCAATCACTGTGAAAAGAGATTTAACAAGCAAGCCAAGCTCCGGATCCATCTGCGTGTCCACACCGGAGAGAAGCCGTACCAGTGCTCTCAGTGTGGGAAACACTTCAGTCAAGATGTAAACCTGAAGAAGCATTACCGCACGCATCATACGGAGGAGAAGCCGTATCAGTGCATGATCTGTGACCGCAAGTTTTCAGTCTCCTTCTCCCTGATAAAGCATCAGCGTGTCGCTCATCCAGGTGAGGACTGTGTAACTTTAGTTTTTAAAATATTTCAACTTAGGAGAAATAGCAGAGCTCACTAAATATGAATAACATTATATGAGGCTTTATGGGGGTTAATAAATGTTCAGATTCACAGATTTGTGGTTTAATTAGGAGATTATTTAATGTGACGCACCCCCAAATGATAATCAATATAAAAGAAAGATTTTTAAAGAATATTTGTATATTTAAACATCTATTAAAAAAGTGTTTTTTATAATTTGAAAATTTAATCTTTAGTTTTTAAAAAACAGTATTATGCTTTGTTTATATAAATACATTTTTACACTGTCTAAATATTTTTTGAGGAGCCCCTAGTACATTAGTTATCAATTTTTACCCATCAACATATTCTTTAACTTTCCTTGATGGATGTATATTTATTTAAAACGTTAATAAAACGTTAAACGTTAAAAAACGTTAGTTTGTGTGACTTTTTTTTCAATGTCTAGAAAATTTTTTTTTTTTTTAAACAGGCTCTGTTTTAATAATCTAGGCACAAAGTCTAAAGCGCACAGTGCATAAGCATTAAAGCTGTGTCTGAATCCACTTTGGCTATTTTAAGGATGAAAAAATACACTCTGCGCTGCAGCACATGGTCTAACAGGGCTGTGCTTATTCTCTTAATGAGTTCTGGATGTTTTTTGAGCATAACGTGGATTAAACCAATTAGAGTCTCTTCTCTCATTCCCTTTAAAAGGTCAGTTGCGTCGGGCCATGCCACATTTGCTATTTATATAGTGGACTTTTTAAGTGACACACTGAATGCTTTAGTAGTGAGAAAACAGTTAAACAGAGCATCTGCAGTGCGAGGATAAAGAACGAGCCTCCTCCATTCAGCCTCTTTACTTAATTTTTATTCTTTACTCCTTTACTTTGGTGGAGTAAGGAAACGGTGGAAACTCACTCCACTGAAGACATTTTTAATTTAATTTGTTAAGTGCACAGATTTGTTTCAAAACTATATCTAAATTCAGTTCTAATCTCCGGCAAAGCAATAAATGAACAACACGTCCTGTTTTTATGCCCCATATGGTGATGCAGACGTCTCCAAAACCCCACAGGTCAACAAATCTAATCTCGTTTTAATTAAAACAAACATAAATATACATATAATAAATAATACTGCTAATAATAATAACATTTTGCAGATGCAGATTGTCAGGAAGAAACTGAAAAAAGCCCCCTAAGGTGAAGGCATGGAGGCAGTGGTTTTTGTATTGATGTAGAAAATAATAATTTTTGTATAATTTTAATCATTGAATTGTTTTCATCTGTAAAGATATTTTTGTATTGCTGTTCATCTTGTATGTATTCAGCTGTGTGTAAGCCTTTGGACCTGCATAGGTGCATAACTAACGTGCTCTGCTGGACTTTAGAGCAGCTTTTAGTCAATTGGTCAATGGTGCGGTCTATTTCAGTTCCTCAAAATAGCAACACACCAACAATGCGCCTTAACACACCTCCTTTTTAGACCAGCACACCCATGAGTCCACAAAGTGGCACAAATGTATTTATTATTTAAAGAACATTGCCCAAAATGTGAAAATTAGGGTTGCGCTGGTCTGAAAATAGCACAAAAGTCTTGCACCTTATTGCACCGAGTGTATGATAGTTGAAGTGCAAGTTTAACTTTTTAGTGACACTTGAAGAGGCGTTTATAAGACTCATTAAGTGTCATTCGCTTAATTATGACATTTTAAATAGAAAGATGACATTGTTATAACGACTGCAATTTGTAGCTCCGCCCTCTATTAAAAAGAGCACAATCTCATTTGAATTTAAAGCGACAGTCACCAAAATGCCACAATTTGTATTAAAGCCTAAGAGCGTCCGTTTCAGAGAGTTATAAAACATTATCTGTGTGGTATTTTGAGCTGAAGCTTCACATACACACTCTAGGCAAATCAGAGACGCATTTTATATCTTGTAAAAAGGGGCATAATATTTCTCCTCAAGCTCACAGGTTGAAAAAATGCACCAGAAGTTTCACTTAAGTGGTTTCTTCAATGCCATTTCCTCTGGGAACCAAACATTGCTGTTTCAGCTGAACATTTTTGGTTGCACAAATGTTGCTGTACGCCTATATAATGTTATGTTCGGGCATATAACATGATTGCACACTACAATATTGTCCGAATGTTGCTGTCATTTTCAAAGTTTGCATCATTTAAAAATCCCCTTAATGCATTTCTTCCAACAGAGTGTTTGAGTGTTGCAGAAAGGAAGCGCTTCACCTGTCCGTTCTGCGGAAAAATATTCGGACGGCATCAAGACATGGAGCAACACAAGCGCACTCACACCGACGAGAGGCCGTTCCGCTGCAATGTGTGCAACAAAAGCTTCAGGCAGCGCTCGGTGTTAATCGTGCACAGGAAGATCCACACTGGAGAAAAGCCCTTCGAATGCTTCGTCTGCTGCAGACGCTTCTACGGCTCGGGAGATCTGAAGACTCATATGGGCACGCATACCGGCATCAGGCCACACAGCTGCCCTCTGTGCTCGAAGAGCTTCCCTCGACCCAGCAGCCTGCAGGCACACATGCTGTCCCACGTGAACAAGCAGCAGGACAGAAATGATGGGGGTTTTCCTCAGGAGGAGGAGCTGGAGGATGCCTGCGGGGCTTCTGGATCATCGGCCATGCTTTCTGAAGACAGTAGGTTCTAGGGCTGCACAGTATATTATTACAGCATCGATATCACAATGTGCAATAGTCACATTGCAGGATTTGCAATGTTTAGTCTGAATTAAAGTTGAGCTGGAGCTACAGAACACGGGATTTGTAGTTTAAAGTCTGCATGAACTGGAAGCTGCGACTGTTTTTTGATGCATTTCCTAGAGAAACTGATTATTAAAGGAGAAAACAGTGGGCGTGGCTTGTTTATTCTACTGTAAGCTGATTGGATGTAGTAAAGTCGCCATTTCATTCAGAAAGACGGGGAAAATGGTTTGGGGAGAGTTATTACAACCTAACAAACTCCTCCTCCTCCTCACCATTTCTGTTTGTTGTCAAAATAACAGGTGGAGGGGTGTCGCTTAGTATGTTAGCCCCGCCTAAAAACAAAACAAACTAACAATCGCAGCTTCTGGTTTATGCGGACATTAAGTCGCATATGTTATTTTTATAGAAACGAGCAACCAATCAGAGACGGGGATGGACTTGAGTCTCTCAGCGAATCAAGACCATGATGCCAATCCCAGCTCCAGTTCAGAGCTGCCAGATCATCAGAAGCCATATTTTTGCATCATATGTGGCAAAACCTTCGCTCTCGCCACTTCCCTGAGAAAACATCAGCTCATATTTCATCCAGGTAAGAAGAACTGCCCAGATAAATTGCATGAAGGGCATTTATTTACTACCCTGATCGATCTCAAGCGACATTATAAGTGGTGTAATCTAACTATACACAATTGAAGTCTAAATTATTTGCTCTCCTGTGAAATAGTTTTTCTTTTTCAAATATTTCCCAAATGACGTTTAACAGATTCAGGAATTATTCACAGTATTTCCTATTTTTTTTTTCGTCTGGAGAAAGTCTTATTTGTTTTATTTCGGCTAGAATAAAATCATTTTTTTTAATTTTTTTAATTTTAAGGTCAATTTTATTAGCCCCCTGAAGCAATATTAGTTTTGGGTTGTCATAACAAACCACTGTTATACAATGTCTTGCCTAATTAACATAGCTTTAAACTAAGTTAAGCCTTTAAATGTCACTTTAACCTGAATAGGTCGAACCTGCAGGTTTCAAACAAGCCTGGAAGACTCAATTAGTTTTATCAGGTGTGTTTAATTAGAGTTGCAGCTAAAATATGCAGGGCTGCGGCCCTCCAGGAACACCTGTGGTATAAAAAACCTTTAGAAAAAAGTGATATTTGTATAGATGTTCCCTCAATAGTCATTTGGTTACTAAAATAGATGGGTCACATTTGCTATTTTAATCATTTTATGAGACATAAACTAAGAAACTTGTTTTTGGAAAGTTCACATACTCAAAAGGAGAACAGAGGAGTTTTCTGCAATACTACAGGATAGTCATAGGGCAGGGGATATTAACAATTATTCATTCAATAAACAAAGTTATTGTAACAGTGCCTGCTTCTCGTCAAATTCTTAAAATGCCAGCAAGGATACTTGTTTTTACAGAGCTAATTAAATGAAAAGAGAGTGCCGATGGTAACAAATAAAAAATGAATAAATAAAAATAAGTAAATATGAATGAATTAAATAAATAAATAAAACAAAAAAGTAAATAAATAAATAAATACACACACACACACACACACACACATACATACATATATATATATATATATATATATATATATATATATATATATATATATATGTGTGTGTGTGTGTGTATATAAAAAAATAAAATAAATTATTAAAATATTTAAATTATTAATTTATTTAATTTAATTTGTAATTTTTTTTGTATTCATGAAGACAAGTTTTACCTAAGGGCAAGTTAAATCTAGTATACTCTTTTCATAGCTATTTAAGTAAGTGTTATTTATAAAGCCTCCATGGGCTTAATGCAAAAAGCATCACATATATATATATATATATATATATATATATATATATATATATATATATATATATATATATATATATATATATATATATGTTGATAAAATTATATCTGTGTTCTTACCTAATACTAAATGGAACATGCATCAAAACACTAGCAAACAATACAGCAATTCTACAGCACCATCAAAAAAAAAAAAAAAAAAAAAATTTATATATATTTATATTAGCCAGACTAATGGAACAAGAAACAACATAAAATTAAATGTAAAAAGGAAGAAGAAGTTTCTTTCTCAACCCAGAGATGAGTTGCCGTTGCGTAAAATAATGCTGGATAAGTTGGCGGTTCATTCCGCTGTGGCAACCCCAGATTAACAAAGGGACTAAGCTGACAAGAAAATGAATGAATGAAGGAAGAAGAAGGAAAATATGACAAAAAAACAATTACTAAGACATTATTAACCTATAAATCTAAGGAAGGTGCTACATTTTTTTGTTATACATCTTCTGTTTGCCAAGTCTAGAGAAACGTAACTTTTCCAGCTTCTGGCCAGAAACCATTTCACCTAACCAAAAGAATTTGGAGGTGTCGTGGATTTCCACTGCATCAGAATCACTCAGAATGGCCAGCACCATGCCAAAAATAAGGGAGAGTTGTTGATGCTTAGGCCAAGGCCTTGAACATCCAAGCAATGCCAATTCCACATTAATTTTAATGTCCATTTCAAAAGCCTGGAGATAAAGATTTACATTTTATTTATTTACATTTTTATTTGTTTTATTTTTGTTATTAAATAAAATAAATAAAACCAAACTTAAATGAAATAAGCCAAACTAAAATAAATAAGACTTTTGTCAGAAGAAAAAAAATACTATAAGGAATACTGTGTTTATTTTTTTTGCTCTGTTAAACATCACTTAGGAAATATAATTACAGGATGGCGAATCATTTTCAATAAAATAAAAACCGAGTTGGAGATAATACTGTCTGTCTAGTTTAATTAATAGCCATTTTGACGGTATGTTTTCTTCTTGGCAATTTAAACAGATCAGCACGTGGATGTGGAGGGGAAATGTTTCGCCTGCTCTTACTGCGGGAGGAAGTTTGGTCGACGCCAGGGTTTATTACAACACGAGCGCATTCACACCGGAGAAAGACCCTTCAACTGCCCCACCTGCAACAAAAGCTTCCGGCAGCGCTCGGCTCTGGTGGTGCACATAAGATCACACACAGGAGAGCGTGCGTTCGTCTGCTTTGTGTGCAATAAGAGCTTTTACACCCCAGGAGACTTAAAGAAGCATCTTGAAATACACACAGGAGTGAGGCCACACAACTGCCCCATCTGCTCTAAGGGTTTCGGGCGTCCCAGTTTCCTACGCACTCACATGCGGACCCATGAAAGTAAGTGAAACCACCATCCAGCAGTGAATGTCAGCATGAACCTGATGTTGCTGAGACTTTTAAGGACTACGACACTAAATTCATATACAATTCTGTTGAGTGTGTAAATGCATAAGTGCTTAGTTTATAGTGTGCCATTTGGGAAGCAGTGATACTCGTTACACACTCAACTACAAAAAAAGTACATACTTTTTGGACATAGTACAAGTATGCACATTGGGACGCAGCAACTATCTCTTAATTGACGAGATATCTCATCAATAGCATTCAAGTAATCAAATAGAAAAGTGTGGCTGTAACTTTATTTACCTGAGCCTCTTACAATGTCTTGCCTTAATGATTTAATTTACTAAAACACAGAGAAATTTGTGACGAAATTAAGCTTCAAAATCACCTTAAAGTGGATGAAAACATCCTCAACAGCACACAAGGGTAACACATTTATGTTAATTCATTTACATTTATGTTAATACATTTATTTTATTTATTATGTTTCCTAGAAACCTCCGCAAAGAAGCAAAGTGGATCTGAGAACGCAGCAGGAAAACCAAAAGCGTCCTCTCAAGAAAAGCCGTTTGAGTGCAGTCATTGTGGGAAGAAATTCAGTCAGCAGTGCATGTTTAAAATCCACCAGCGGATTCACACCACTGAAAAGCGGTATAAATGCACCGAGTGCGGCCTTAGCTTTCGCTGGAGGAGGAACCTGATCTCACACCAGAGCACCCACCCGGGACAAAACCCTCTCCAGTGTTCAATGTGCGATCAAACGTTCATCTCTGAGGCTGCTGTAAAGAGCCACCAAGATACATTTCACTCTGGTAAGATATATTCAAGTAGCAAGCAATGGGAATGAGTATGTGTAATCCTTCAATAAATGCTACAAGAAATAAAGGTCACGCTTTAATTTACAATTCACTCTATAAACAAACCATTAACCAGGACTTTTAGCTAAATAAACTACTAATTAGCTGATTATTAATCGATAGTAAGGCAATAGTTGAGTTTAGATATTGATTAGGGATGTAAAAAAAAGACCATACTTTATAAGTGCTGATATACAGTTAATATCACAATAATAGGCAGGTAATAAGCCAGTGTTAGTGAAATAACATTTCTTGGCTATAAGAAACTCATTCATTCCTTTAGTTTCTTTTCGGCTAAGTCCCTTTATTAATCAGGGGTTTCATAAGACTGTCATCACACCTTTATAAAATTGACATGATCTTGAATATTAATGAGATCATATGCATGCCATTAAATGTCATTAGCTCAGTTGTCACTTTAAATGCAAAGATGACATTGATTGAGGTGTCTTTGACATCACCAAGACAACATAACTTGTCATAAACCTGTCATAAACATGACTGTCATGAGGCGTTATAGTTGTCAAGGTTTTTAACCGCAGCATTATTTTTTTTTGACCTTAACTAAAGTGGTGCAAATTGAATTTGTCATGTACAGTTGAAATCAGAATTATTAGCCCTCTTTAAATTTTGTTTCTTTTTCCAATATTTTGCAAATGATGTTGAACAGATTCAGGAATTTTTCACAGTATTTCCTGTAATATTTTTCTTCTGGAGAAAGTCTTATTTGTTTTATTTCGGCTTGAATAAAAGCAGTTTTTAATAGTTTTAAAGCCATTTTAAGGTCAATATTATTAGCCCCCTTAAACTATATTTCATTTTTGATTGTCTACAGAACAAATCACTGTTATACAATGACTTGCCTAATTTCCCTAATCAACCTAGTTAATCCTTTATATGTCACTTTAAGCTGAATACTAGTATCCTTAAGAATATCTAGTCAAATATTATGTGCCGATAAAAGAAATCAGTTATTATAAATTAGTTATTAAAACTACTATGTGTAAAAAATTCTCTCCATTAAACAGAAAGTAGGAAAAAATATACAGGAGGGGCTAATTATTCTGGAGAGCTAATAATTCTGACTTCAACTGTATGTGTCATTAAATATTAATGATGCTGTTATAAACGAAGTACATAGTATTGACACGGTTTAATTCACACTCATAGTATTAAAACTCTAAATCACAAATTAATTCTGTTCCACTGAAATAAAAGGTGTCAGAAAAATATTAAAGAAACATTATTAATAGACCCCTTAGGAAAAATAGTTTTGGATTGGTTACAGAACAAAATAGTGTTGTCCAATGACTTGCCTAGTTAACCTAATTATATATATATATATATATATATATATATATATATATATATATATATAATTAATATATATTTATACATATAATATATATATATATATATATATATATATATATATATATATATATATATATATATATATATATATATATATATATATATATATATATATATATATATATATATATATATATATATATATATATATATATATATATATAAAGCTTCTGTGGTCAATATTATTATCCTCCCTGTTCAATTGGCTACAAACCACAAAACTGCCCAATGACTTTACTAATTATCCTAGTTAAAGGTGCAGTAGGTGATCTTCCACAATGATAACAGCTTAGCATAAATCTCTGAATCACAGTTACTCCCCTGCCATCTATCCCATAGATCTATCCCATCCCATATGTATATGTGTGTGTATGTATGTGTGTGTGTGTGTGTGTGTGTGTGTGTGGGTGTGTGTATATGTATATATATATATATATATATGTATATATGTATATAAATAAATACACACACACACACACACATATATACACACACACACACACACACATATATATATATATATATATATATATATATATATATATATATATATATATATGAATGTATGTATATATGTATATGTATGATATGTATATATATTATTATCGTTCAATATTTCTCAGTGATGGGTTTGGCTGGAAGGGTATCCGCTGTGTAAAAAATGTGCTGAATACGTTGGCGGTTCATTCCGCTGTGGCGACCCCGGATTAATAAAGGAACTGTGCCGACAAGAAAATTAATGAATGAATTATTGTTCAATATGGATTATAGTTATCAAGCTTGCATTTTTGCCATATCGCCCAGCCCTAGTCTGTATACATTAAACGTATTTATATTTTTACGTATTAATATTTTTAAATTGTTAATGTTTTTTATGTTGCGTATTTTCAGGGGTCTCCCACACATGCAGTTTGTGTCTGAAGACATTCACTAAGTCGGCAGGTCTCCGGAAACACGTGCGTTACGTTCACGAAGGAGAGCGCCCTCACAAATGCACCGAGTGTAACAGAGGATTCGTTAAAGTGTCGGATCTGGCGCGTCATCAGCGCCGCCATCATTACGACCGCGGAAACCAACTCTTCCAGTGCTCGGAGTGTGAACGCAGCTTCAGCCACCCCAGCAGTCTGGTCCTACACCGGCGCACACACACCGAAGAGAAACACCAGTGTCCTCAGTGCGACAAGATCTTCAACCAGGCGGGGCACCTGAAGGTCCACATGCGCACACACACCAAGGAGATCAAACCCAAGTTCGAGTGTCCTGATTGCGGGAAGAGTTTCGGACAGACGAAGGATCTGATGGTGCATCAGAGGGTCCACACTGGAGAAAAGCCATACCAGTGTCCGCAATGCAAGAAGAGCTACAGGCAGTTTGCGCATCTGTCTGTTCATCTGCGCAGTCACACGGGGGAAAAGCCCTACCAGTGTCCCATATGCCTCAAGTTCTTCGCCCATTCGTCCTCCATGAAGAAACACCTGCGTGTAATGCATCCAGGTACGAATTGGTTTATTGAGAAATGATTAATCCCTATTATGCCCTTTTTTTTTTTCATCGTGAGTGTGTATGTGAAGTTTCCGCTCAAACTAACACACAGATGCTGTTTTATAACTAACGCTTTTAGGCTTTGATCCTATTTTTGGTGTCTGTCGCTTTAAATTCAAATGAGATTGTGCTCTTTTTCAAAAGAGGGCGGAGCTACAAATGCCTGATTCAAATACAGGACCACCTCAGGGCTCAACAATAAGGACTGCCCGGTGGCCCGGGCCAACCAATACAGCGAAAACATGGGAACATAATGGCAACATCAAACTATGAGGCTAAAAGAAAACATCTGTTTCTAAAGTCTTGGAAGCAGACAATTACATGGGTGCAAAATTAAGAAGCTGGAAAAAAAGAACCAAAAAAAAAAGTTGTCAATTTGGCAAGCCATTTTTATAAAAAATATTTAGAATTGCAATAAAATACCAGCACATTCTCCATACTGCTCTTTCGTTTGCATAAAATCTTTATTTTTGCTCATTATACATTTATTAACAATTTTAAAATTCTAGATTTACAGACATTATTTAAAATATGTGGCTAAGATAAAGCTATTTATTAATTTTTTTTGGTGGGGCCAATAAAAATTTTAGCAGGGCACGTAAAAATCTGAACCACTGGCCCAATTGGCCCAGTAGAAAAAATCCTTAGCGTTGAACCCTATAAAGTCCTATTCTAATAAGACTAGTGGGCGGGGCTTTTCCCCTCTGATGACACGTAGAAAGGGAAAATGTCAATCAAAGTGTTTTTGCAGACTGATTCGATCAAGTCTGATTATAAACGATTAATAACTTTTGACCATTAGATGCTGATTATATTCACACAACTGTGTTAAAACCCCTGTTAATAGTGATTTTTGAATAACAGGGTAGGATTGCATCAGCTGATCGTAAACTGGAACATAAAGTCCACACTTAGTAACTACTAGCTAGTTTGTAAATAAATTTGTCCTCACTTCGGTTGCACCACACTTTCTTAAGGCAAACCGTAGTTAGCTTGTCGTAAGCTCTCCGTGAAGTCATACTTTATATATATATGAGTAATTCCAGTGCTATGGATGTGACATTTGCAGTAGAAACTCAAAACATAAATTCACATCGAAAGTATATGTTAACATTATATTGAAACGTTAGTTTATATTTTCCAGAACAACTGACCACAGGGTTATGGGACAAGAAAATTATCAATCTGTAAACATGTTTTGTACTCTAAAGGAAAACAAACATGTGTTATGGATGTGACAAAAAAGTCTGTGGGTTTACAGTCTACAGCAGGGGTCACCAATCTCGGTCCTGGAGGGCCGGTGTCCTGCATATTTTAGCTCCAACCCTAATCAAACACACCTGAACCAGCTAATCAAGCTCTCACTAGGTATACTTGAAACATCAAGGCAGGTGTGTTGAGGCAAGTTGGAGCTAAACCCTGCAGGGACACCGGCCCTCAAGGACCAGGACTGGTGACCCCTGGTCTACAACATGCTTTGTAGAAATTCTGTGAATTAAACTGCACAACCCAACAGAAACAATAATAATCACAATGATAAGAGTCGGCTCTCTGTAAAACAAAAACGATTTTTAAATTTTTTTTTATTTTCACATTTATGAGGAAAAAGTGTGGCTATGGATGTGACAGATGTGAAATTGCCACTTGACTGACTTTGGTAAATCAAATAGAATAGTTTGAAAACATTGATAGAGACATTTGAGTATTTCTGAAGGACTGTAAAATCCTTGCTTACCCAGAATTGGTTTCCGTATTTTGGTGAAAACTTGGCAAGGTTGACATTTGTACAGAATTGTTCATATATATTCTTTTTTTTTATTCAAATGACTTTCTTCAGATGCGAAGGACGCTCCTGTTGGCGCCGGTCCGTCAAACACAAGTGTGGAAGTCAAACAGGAGCCAGTGTCTTCTGATGAAGATGGTGAGTCTGGCTTAGCTCATGTCAAACGGCAGATTCAAAATATATTATGTGTGTTTTAAAGTGTTTTCGTCCATGCGAGATAGATGAAGAATGATGTCTCCTTCAAAATCCTTGACACATGGTCTATACCAGGGGTCGGCAACCCAACAAGAGCCATATTGGAATAAAAAAAAACAAAAAAACAAATATGTCTGGAGCCGCAAAAAATGTAAAGCCTTATATAAGCCTTACAATGAAGGAAACGCATGCTGTATTTATCTATATTAGCTATATTAGCCTACTAAAAAAAATAGTAAGTTGGCTATAAATACGTAATGAGCCTTCATGATTAAATAGCCACTGAAATAAGGTGGTTGGTGTTTATTTCGTTGTCATTTAAACACTTCAGCACAGCCTCTGGTCTTTCAGTGGTATTAATTTGATAATTTCTTCTTGCGGCCCATCAGAGTTCACATACCTGCATAAAAGCGCTTTGAATATCGGTCACATCACAGGCAATTTAGTATGCTGGCACTGAATTAATGTCCTTGGTTTGCTGATCGGTGATGTTACCTGCCATTTTAATAGCCCTTTCCTTCACTGTCTTTGCGGAGAGAGGTATATCTTTCATTTTTTGTATTATCTCGATTTTGTTTTTGAATTCTGCAAATAGGTGTTCTAATATGTTGAATGACTCCTTCATGTAGTCACCATCTGTGTACGGTTTTCCATGCTTTATTATCTTCCGGTTTGTTTACAACAGCCACCTGCCTGGCATCCCGCCCTGCTGATAGAAACGTGTGTAGCAGGCTATGACAATCTTCGTTGACAGAAATGTTGAAATTAAATATTAATTCTACACACTTTTACAGCATTTAAAAAACGTTAAAAATGTTTATCCTCCTATAGAAATCATATTAAAACTGAAAAAATATATTAAACTCCCCCATCTTTTTCCATTTTCAAACATTTTTGAAAAAGCTCCAGGGAGCCACAAGGGCAGCGCTAAAGAGCCGCGGGTTGCTGACCCCTGGTCTATACAAACAAGCACGTTGTACATGATAGTTGTACTATTTAAAACAAACTGCTTAGTTGGGAAAACACTATCAAGTTTCAGAATGGTTGTGTATTTTACAAGGTTATGCATGGTTTAGTTCTTCACCCTCTGGCTGACTTAACTCCATTGAAATCTGCTGAAATGGAGGTGCAGCTAGAGCTGATGCCATTTTTACACTTTAATTTTTTTCTTGTTTTTCTTTTTTTTTCTTTTACAGCATCACATCAGTGGATTTTGATACCACAATCTCTTTTATTTAAGTATAGACCTTTTTCTTAGAATGCAAAACTACCCATAATGCTTTGCTTGTATGCGCAAGGAGGATGCTAAGAACTTCCGGTCAGCAGCTGATGCTTTTAAAGAGTCTCATTCAGACAGCTTTTTAATCTATTTTACTTGCTTTTAACATCTTTAAACTAATACTGCCGTCGATCAGCGCCCCCTCCTGGACTGATTATTTTTTAAAAATGTGATCTAATGGGATGGAAAACTGCAAGGTATTTTTCCCTCATTGTCTGACGGCATCTTGTGCCGTTTAAATGAAGCCTCATCATCGCTAAAGTCAACATTTTCTCTTTCTTTTGAATATATAACCAGCCCAAACAAATGTAAGGGTGAGAGAAGGAGAGAAGGGTGCGCGACGATGCCTATTTGAGGACCGGGAGGGAGACGCGAGATTACCGGGAGATCATCACTCGCTTGTGGGCATACAGAGACTCGCGAAACTTCCTGCCCTACTCATAATTCTCTCTTCATATTGCCATATGCCTATTACATATCCATAAAACACTGTGATATAACCGCGCTCGGATCGGATCGCTTTCTCACTGCAATCGAGCCGCTCCAGAGTTTGTTTCAATCGAGCCGAGAACACCTTATTCAAGCGATCTTGGAGTGATTACTTTGGCGCGGAACAGAGCGCGATTGCCCTGTTCACATATGCCAAACGAACCGCGCTAACTGGGCAAACGAGATACGTTCCGAAACAAAAGTGTAGGTGTGAAAGCACCCTAAATTAAAGTTTTTGCATCACAAAAAACACTCTGTGAGGCACTCAAAACAGTATTGGCACCATGTTGAGAAACGCTGCTCTGGCTGATGACAATTCTTAACGGAAGTTCTTAGCAGCCTAGCGGAAGGCACTGCTCACTATGGCGCCCTCCATGCAGCAACCAAGAAAAAGGTCTATAGTTTGAAGAAATAGATTTTTGTTGTTGTTTTGTTTTGCTGTTGTTGTTTTCCGTTGTTCATTTGAGTTTTGTTTATAATTTGCATTTGTATTTTTGTTGGTTTATAGGCCTATAACATCTGGGAAAGAGACGACCAATGAGAACTTGTGCTAATTCGGGTACATTTACGTTCATGCAGGATGTTGATTAATGTATACTGCTTCTTGTGGTGAAATAAAGAGACTAATTAAAAAAAAAAATACTAAATAGTGCTGTCAAAAGACAAATTGCATCCAAAATAAAAGCTTGCATTTACATAATGTGTGCGCATATTTATTTTACATATACTGTAAATCATACAGTCTCAAACTCAATTCCTGGAGGGCTGCTCCTCGCACAGTTTTGCTCCAAATCTAATTAAACACCTTTGATCCGACTAATCAAGGTGTTCAAGACTCCAAGAGACTATGAAGCAGGTGTGAGTTGGATGTGGTTGAAGCTAAACTATGCAGAGGTGTGGCCCTGCAGGAATGCTGGAGAACCACTGCTGTAAATAAATACACATGTATATATTTGAGAAGCTTATATATTTATTAATTAAATACTTATATGTAATATAATATATATATATATATATATATATATATATATATATATATATATATATATATATATATATATATATATATACACACACACACACACACACATGGGCAATATCACAAGTGTAGCAGTGTGGGACTGGTGGGAGGTTTACATTGGCTCGAGTCCGCAGGCTGAGTGTCTTAGTGTCCCTCTAGTGGCAATAATACAGCCACATTGCACTGCTACAAGTGTGATATTGCATTTATACAACAGTTTGACAGCATAATCGTGTATATAAAAAAAGAAAATCAAACACGGAGAGTCTGAAAATCCAGCAACAGAAACTGTTGCTACTTCACACACTTCACTTTAGAGCTACTATTTGAATGATTCTCTAGCGTAATGTCTAAAGTGATGACAAAATAGGTGATTTTGCTCACACTTTAAGATTATAAGGCTGAAAGGCACGAAATGCCATCAGTCTACAGAGATTTACCAGTATTTCTCAGTTGCAATCGGGAGATCACAAATACTTAACCCTGAAAATGTCAAAGCAAACACTACCAGAGTACTATGGTATAAATACAGCACAACAACATACAAGAGAGATTGACTTAAGATGTCACTTACCCATTTATAATCATTTAAAATGTACGCAGAAAAAAAATCAGTTTTTTTTCTCCCATAAGGACTTATTATGCAATCTCTGCCGCCATCTTGTGGCGGACCGTGAACTGTCTTTGCTCTACTCAGTATGACAGGCTGATGAATGCCGATGTGCTGCATCTCAGAAATTATGAATATTTAAAATAGCCACCAATCCTTATAAATAAACTGCATAGTTGCAATCTAAACAACTACATTCTCGCCTAAAAAAACCTCAAAAGTGCATTATGTTGTTCAACAGCTGCAATATATGTCGAACTGTAGTCCTCTACTTGCCACTTGTGTGGACGGAGTAACACACAAGGGTGAAGAGGCTGTACGACTGCTGATATATTAGTTTAATATCTCACGGCTATCAGCACACACTAAGTAAATAGAACTTTTTTATTTTGGATGTGTTTAATTGTAATTAATCGGTTGACAGCACTACTAATTAATGACTTTCTGAATTAATCAATGAATGTAACTGCACTGTATTTTTATTTTTGCAGAATTTCAAGTGAAATCTGAAGAAAACGACTTTGCTATAATGGATGAGGTGAAGACTGTTACGGTCTCCTCGTGTCCGTCCAGTCCTATGACTCTAAAAGAGGAAAAATAAGTGCTGTGGATGGAAACCAGGAGTTCTCTCCTGCCAAACACCACACAGATCTTCAGTGTCTATTCAAGACCGCTCCATTTCTGATGCCAAATAAACTGTTTTTGAGAAATATTGATAATATTCAAGACTTACTCCAGAACACTTCAGTCATCATGAATCCACACAACAGCAGTCCATGTGGCTTTTTTAGTTAGTTGCCATAGTCGAGGAGGAAAATATACATTCGCTTTTTTGTGGTAAACCTTCCCTATCAGATGGAACCTGATAGAACTTTCCATCCATTCAGAACATCTCAAACATGACCTACATCTGTTTAGAATCTCCAGAGATGTACAGTTGAAGACTAAAGACTGAAATTTTAATAATATATATGTCGGATCTGGTGGGAAGGTCAATCTCCGATTCCCGAGGCTCTGTACTGTTTGTGGAAATTCAGAATTGACCCAAAACAAACGATCAAGATTGGATAAGATTGGCAATGAAAATTCAGAAACGGGGTTCAACTTGCATACTAAAGGCTACAGAAAATTAATGTAATAAATAAATGAACCAATAATTACCTAATTGGCTAAAAGAAGACAAATTTTACCTACACATTTTAAACATTTTAACTTAACCATTAAATAATTTTATTCAAATATTGTGCAATAACTAGAGCAAGACACAATTTGGGGTCTTTTTTTTTTTTTTTTTACTATTTTTGCAGAATTTTGTAATGGATTGATGGAGAATGATCTTAAGTAACTAAAAAACTTAATACTTTAAATAAAAAATAATATTTTAAATGTAATATTAAGGTGTACAATGCAAATTCAATTAGAACCACTTGTTTGGTAAACAAAGCAAGTCTTGCATCTACTAAAAGACAGCAAATATTACTTTACAAAGCGTATTGTTCATAAATCATATTAACAGTTGCAAATTGCTCAATATTATTACCAAAATTAACATATAAACAATATATATTTATATATATATAAACCTCTACGCAAGTAAATGAACAGTATTTATATTGCATTAAAGCATATTTTACCATAACATACATGATTCTGGCTCGTAGGCAGGGGGTGGTTCGGGTGGTTTAAAAGAACTACCCACCCACTGACATAGGTTCAGTATTTGTCATTGGTCCAGAATTTTTGCCACTGTATTCTCATTTGAACTATTGTGACTGCTATGTCATCATAAATTGTGGAAATAACCCATCAAAGGTTTTAAGAAAACGCACAATATGACATAAGTGAAGTCAACTTTCACTATTGACCGACTGTTGTTTTCTAAGTAACCTAACTTTAATTTTAAATCTTGAACCTTATTCTTGAAAGAAAAAAAAACTATAAAAAGGTCTGAGGCACCAAAAGCAGCCTATTAAAGTTAATTTTAATACTAATTAGTATAAAAATCCACAATCAAAGTTTTCAGGGGTAGCTTAAATAATGTGTCGGTGCTCTTTGTGTAAGGGATTCATCAGAAAAAACATCAAAATCAGTCCAAGGCACTCAAAAAATGTGGAAAAAATAATAAAAAGCCTTTATTGACACGGCTGTTCCTTAAAACTGTGGCTACATCAGGTTACCCTGATGAAGTCAAGTGGTATCAAAACTTGTGTAGGCACAGTTTTAAGAAATAGCCATGTCAGTGAATGCTTTTTAATATTTTTTCCACATTTTACAAGTGCCTTAGACTGACATGTGCTGTTTATACTAATTAAGCTGTTGTTGTTGGATGAATTTTCAAGAGAGGCTAGAAGAAAATCGTGAACAAGCTAATCCAACTAAAATAGTGCTTAAAATTCCACTTATTGGAGTATTTAAACATCATAATTAATAAAAAAATGAGGTGAATAACTGCAAAAAAAAAGTACACATTTTGAGAAAAAAGAACCACCCTTTTAACCAGGCTGGCTACGGGCCTGTGATTGTGTACTTATGAGTAAGGAGAAAATGAGTACAGAAAAAAATAAACAATCCCAGAAAATATATGGTTATGTCAAAGCAGTTATACATGGTTTTGAAGATAATTTATAAAAGGACACCACATGGTAGTGAACTTTGAAATTGAGTCTGTATCCAAAATCGATTCACCATACCTCTCAAATAATGTACTATTTAAGTTAGCAGAGATTTCTACTCGTGTCCAAAATCATAGAGGACAATTTAAAGTGCATTAAATCAATCCCACAATGCACAGTAAGTACACTCGACAGCTAAAAATGTTTATCTAGAATGCACTGCGAGAGTTCGCGCCAAATTAACGTCCGCGTCTGACCACAAGATGGCGTCTAAAGCGCGATGCTGTCAGAGTAAGTTTAAAAATCCAATATTATTCAAAGCAACGTTTGTATACACGATAAGTTTGTGTTTCATTGTTGATAGACAGCAGGCTACGTGTTGAATAACTATCACATGTTTTGACCTGGAAGTTTACAATACAATCCCTCTGAGAGAGCAGCAAAACAAACAAAAGTGCGCAGATACACTCGTTCAAGTGGACTAATGTAGGGAATAGTGAATGAGGCTAGGCTACAAGGGACGATTTGAGATACAGAATGACTCCTATTTTTCTTTACAAACACAAAAGCTAGCATAATAATCCCAATTAATTAAGATCAGATGTTTTGTCTTTGCCATGATGACAGTACGTTCATATTTCTCTATGACACTAGTATTTAGCTTACAGTGCAATTCAATGGCAGGGTTGTGTGGCCAATCGTAAAAAGGGGCTAACAATATTGACCACAGGAGTTTTAACATATTTTTCAATTTTTATTTTTATTTATTCCACCCAAACTAAAAGAAATTGTACTTTCTCCAGGAAAAAAAAGTAAATACTGTGAAAAATACTTTGTTAAACATTACTTTGGAAAATAATTATTTAAAATAATTAAAATTCCACACTCATTTTAGTCTTCAACTGTACATAAACTGTATGATTTTGACCAAACTGTTAGTAGAAAGTAGCCGTGGCACCTACTGGGAGTAGAGTTTCCATCAGGTAGACGATTGTGTGACTCTAGGCTGCAGACTTCAGTTCCAGTCCTCATCAAACTCCTCTATAGGTTCCAAGTAATCCCGAAGACTTTTAGATTAGGTTGATTATTAGTGTTTGTATCAAAGATCTACTGATATCCTAGAGTTCAGCTCCAAACGCCTGCATGGAAGTGTGTGTATTGAGTCTGAAGGTCTGGATCATCTCCTCCAGGTGTGTTTAATCATGATTAAAGCTCAACTCTGCAGGACTCTCCTCAAGCAGAAGAACTCAACTATTATTCTACATTTCTGTGTGATTTAGCTACTAAATATGTGTGATTGTTATTTTATGCATTCCCTGCTCTTTAGATTTACTTTGTGTTCACAGCTGCATTTAATATGTTTCAAGATTTTTTTGGTAACCCCCATGAAAACAGTAAATATTGCAGTTTCTTTAAACCATACTATAGTAAAGTGTATTAAATTGTATAGCATCTATAACTCTTTGTTATGAATGCTGCAGTAGTGAGCTTCTAAATGTTTACACTAGAGTAAACTGTGGTGAATTGTAATATATACACCCTTCCTATTGATCATTTTGAGGGATGTAAACAAAAACAATGGTCCTAACATATTTCCTGTTTCAAAATTTTAATTTCTGTAGGATCTGAGAATTCAGAAGGAACCACATATTGATAAATAGCATTATGACAGCTGTTTTACCATTAAGTTATGATTAAATTGCCTCTTGTTAGTTATTAAATAGTTTAATAACAAGCTGGAAATGTTCATGGACCAATGACATAAACACATTGAAATGGTCTATGGCTAGTTATTGGGTCACCTGTTTATATAACTGTAGTGATTGTGTTACCACTATAAAGTTACCAAAACATATTAATTCAAGTACTTTACTATTGTATGGTTCAGAAACACTGTAGTATTTACCATAGTATTTTCGCCACATCTGCTTTTTAAGGCATGTGAATATGCAACAAGCACCGAATCATTTCATTACTATTACAGTGTTACTCTGACACCAATGCTTTTGTTTGTTTGAACACATGGCGTCTCATAATAGATGGGAATATTGTAGGTTCACCAGTAAACAATCTAAAACACGGTGTGATTGGCTGATTGTCCGTCAGTCTCGAGGTCTGGTGTTCTGTCGATTTGTCCTACCTCATCGGATTGCCCTACCTCCCATTCAAAAAGTAGGTAGAACATATTGCTGACACAATATGCTACCTATTAGATTTTGCCACCAGTGTAATTTTTATTGTGATATGAAGCTGTAATATCGCCCTAACCCCAACCTCAGAACTATTCAAATACAGTGTTGGTAGCATAATCTGAGGAGTAGGATGAAATGTCAGGACACTGGCAATATGCATGATCAAAATATGAAGAGCATCAATGCAACATTTCAAAATACTCCACTAAACAAGGAGAAAACATGATCAAAACCAAACAAACAGTTCTAAATGGGTGGGAAATGAAGTGCAAATCAATGCAAAGTACACAAGAGAAGCAACTTACTGTCTGTAGGTCACACGAGAAAGCTGAAATGGCTTAAAATGCGACATCTTGATACACAAGTTCATACCATTATCTAGTCCAGTAGGTCTTAAACTTTTTTCATCAAGTACCACCTCAGAAAAACAATCGTCTCTCAAAGTACCACCATAATGAGCAGTATTGGAATACAGTAGCAGTAGTGTGCCCGGTAAAGCAGCTACCGCTCTATACAGTTCAAAAACGAGGCAGATTCATTCCTCGTATGAAGAATATTATTGTCAGCCTCTTTAAACATTATAAATAGTTTGAACATTAATCCTGTACTGTGCTTATATGTAAAAAATTATCAACATTTAAAATTAAAAATGTGCTTTTAAAGTTAAAAATGATAGGTTACTGTTCTTAAAAAAGTAAATCTTTTTTTAAATATGTTTATCAATTATCTATGTCACCATATTCATATTTAAATCATTTGTGAAACATTGTATATGACATATTTGATTCATCCGCGTACCACTAGAACAGGAGTGGGCGACTCTGTCCTGGGGGGCCGGTATTTGCTCCAACACTAATCAAACACACCTGAACATGCTAATCATTTTATATATATATATATATATATATATATATATATATATATATATATATATATATATATATATATATATATATAAAAGCAGGTTTGTTTGATTGGAGTTGGAGCTAAACTGTGCAGGACCGAGTTTGCCCACCCATGGACTAGAAGAAAGCCCACATACCACTAGTAGACTAATCTAGTCCACTTGACAACAAGTAGTACAGTAAGTGCACAAAACATTCATTTTCCTTCAGCTTAGTCACTTAATTATTAGGGAGCGCCACAGCAGAATGAACCGACAACTATTCCAGCATATGTTTTACACAGCGGATGCCCTTCCAGCTGCAACCCAGTACTGGGAGACATCCATACACTCTCTCACATACACACTGTGGCCTTTTTAGTTTAACCAATTGACCTATAGCGCATGTGTTGGGACTGTGGGGGAAACCGGACACCGGGAGTTAACCCACACCAACACAGGGAGAACATGCAAACTATACAGAAATGCCAACTGACCCAGCCTGAACTCGAACCAGCGACCTTCTTGCTGTCTGGTGACAGTGCTCACCACTGAGCCACCATGCTACCCACATTTATTCATTAATTGAATTCTTTAAGTGATGGTAAAATAAGCTCCAGTATATAAATGCTTTGACAAGTTGGCTAGTTTTTTAGGAGAGTGTGTGTCCTACAGGTGGTTTCTCAAGCCCACTCACCTGTGTGGAGCACACTCTGAATTGCACAATGTTTCCCCAGAAATCATTCACAGATTTTCCTTCTTAGTCTCTATTTTAGAGGCCGCCACAGCAGAATGATTCCGAAGTGTTTTACGCAGCTGCAACCCAGTACTGGGAAACACCTATACAGCCATGTGTTTGGACTGTGGAGGAGCAAACCCAGCCACCACGGAAATACCACCTGACCCAGCCAGGACTTGAACCAGCGACCTTCTTGATGTGAGGCGACAGTGCTAACCACTGAGCCACCATGCCACCCTTCCCCAGAAGTATGAAAGAAATGACTTACCTTTCCAGATGCACTTAGCATTAGTTTTGTTTTGAGTCCACATTTTGGGCCTTCACTACCTGGCGAAAATATTATCTCTCAGAGGGAAAACAATACCGCTCCGCATTTCTTTAATATATCTTTATTGCTTGAATAGTTTTGATACAGAACAGCTTACATTTCTGATTCTGAAGCACTCATTCAAAGAACAAGAGTAGTGTACCAAAAATGTCCCGGTGATTCTGGTTCCATTCAAGTCCAGTAGACTTATTTTTGGGGATGTAGCAGCGACACAATGCTCCCTTTTATTACATCGGTCAAACAGTGAGGTCTCCGTTAATCTGCATTTTTTACAAAGACGCAGGGAGGATTTTTTTAAAAAAAGAAAAAGGGAGAACAAGTCTTGTAGAAAACCCATGAGTGGAATGTGGATCTTGATAACTCCACCCTGTTCGTTTGAATTCACAGTCAAGTGCTTAATAAAAGTAGTGATTGACGATTCGACATATTCAGAAATCAAAGGTGAAGAATTATGCAAAGGGAAATGATGATTTAAGAAAGCCATTTGTATGAACCCTGAGAGTGAGAGAGCGGCAGATGGGGCGAAAACAGAAAATGAAATCATTTATAACTGAACAACATGCAAAAACAACTACCCTACAGATTCACCCAAAGCACAATAACAGGAAAATTCACAGTTTTATATGCAAAAGAATATATAAATGAAAACAACTTGTATATCTCTCTGTCAAACTGAAATAATCATAATAATTATAATAAAGATAACAGACCACGCATACTAAAAACAAATGCATACAAAGTTCTACATAAAGCTTTCGGATCGAAGTGATTATGATCATCGAAGACCCAGATCAACGCTGGGAAGCTAATTATTGAATTCGAATCATCTTTTCTGCAGCATAATCGTGTTAATACATGGCTTCTCCACATTTACTTCTTCACCCCACACTGGGTCATAATAAATACATTAAAAACAGTCACTGTGAGCATTCGTCGCATTTCCGTGCACAATCAACCAACACCTAACACAGTCACTAACCCAGGAGAAGGCATCGGGAGAAGCAAACGTCCTGGAAACACCCAGACATGAGAAAGCGATTGCATTCGAGTTCATCCAATACTACAAGTCGAGATGTTAGATCTTCACCACTAGGGGGCGCACACAACCAACCTCACATCCAATCCAATGAGAGGCCAATTCAAAATCATCAGGCTCAATATTCCTCATAGACGGATTTCAGGAGACTAACATTTGAAGATTTCAAACCGCCTCCATGGCCTGGTTTCACGTACAGGGTTTCTTTACAACACAAGTATATAAAACTGAGAGATCCAATGCTACAAAAGAGTGTGTGATTGACATGTGTGCAGGATTGACTCATCCTGGCAGGAGGCAGCAGGGCGACAGGGTTCAAGTACACCATCAAGTCTATAGTACACCAGCCTGGCAGAACACAAGAAATCTGCTCAAAGCTCAGAGGAAAAGGTAAGGCTTAGATAAAAAGATGTTTTTTTGGAAGACTGTAAATCTGGACAGGTGCGTCAAGTACATCATTATAAATCATGTGCTGCCTTTAGTTCCTTATTAGGGATTTATTGTCGAGGTTTTAAAGGGATAGTGCACCTAGAAAGTAAAATTCTGTCATCATTTACTCATCCTTGTTTGAAAGTTTCCTGTATTTTTTTTTTTGGATGTTGGAAACCTGTAACCATTGACTTCCATAGTACGACAAACAAAAAGTCAGCTTTGCTTCAAAATTAACATCTTGGAAAGGTTTGCAACCACTTGAGGAGGACTAAAGGATGATTAAATTTACATTTTTGGGTGAACTACCCCTTAAAGCAGGGCTCATCAAACTTGTTCCTGGAGGGCTGGTGTCCTGCTGATTTTAGCTCCAACCCTAAACAAACACACCTGAACCAGCTAATCAAGGTCTTACTATGTACACTTGAAACACCCAGACAGGTGTATTGAGGCAAGATGGAGCTAAACACTGCAGGGTTACCGGCCCTCCAGGACCAGGATTGGTGACCCCTGCCTTAAAGTATCCAAAACCGAGCATTAGGGACAGATTCACAAGCCCTTAACTTAAAAACATGGCCATCTCTCACTTAAAAATTCTCCTTTCATGCCAAAAAAGGTACACTAATGCTAAGGACAGCTTTTATGGAGGCAAACATTGCCCATATATTGTATGTGATAGCTGTTGAACACCTTTTTTCCAAGGATGACCCTCAAAATCTTTGCTTGAAACCAAACAAAGTTTCCTGTGCATGGCACAGCACCTAGAACAGCATATTATTGCAGTAAAACAATGACTCTGGACCCTCTGTCATTGAATGGAATTAAGCCACGGGCAAACTGAAGGAGGACGAGCCAAAAAGTAGCCCCTATGGTGAACAAGTTGCGTATTCCAGTTATGCACTCGGCTGTGAGCCTCTCAGTAGAAAGAAGTCCTCCAGTTGATCTCAGATTTTCACCGTTGCTGTACTGTACAATGCGTTCATTTGTTCATATATTGCTTGAAGTAGTTCTCTCAGGATTCCACACACACAAAAGATCATTGTAAAATACTATAAAAATCAACTTTAGATCAAGATAAATGCTGATAAAGATATAGCAAAAACAAAGAAAGTAGAAAGGCACTTGGAAACAGTCATTGCTTTTTTTTTCTCAATGCAATGTACTAGGTTTTGTTATATGGCACTGTGTCTTTTCTGCAGCACAATGCTTACACTATGAAAGAGTCACTCTTCACTCCACTCCAAGAAGCGCTGGCTCGGAGGTGGGCAAAATGTGCTCAGTAGTGGGCTTGGTATGGATCTCCAGTAAACCTTGGATGAATCCCGGCTCTGATGTGGCTGGAGAATCCTCTGCTGGAGTTTCTTTGGGTGTTTCTGCTGCAGGTTCTGTCTCAGAGCTCAGATTATACTCTTCTGCGTCCGCGGCTGCTCCCTTGTTCACATACGAGGTTGGTTCCCCCTTCACAGTGTCTGTCATTTCACTTTCGTTCTCAGAGGGCGGGTTTGTGCTGGTGGGTGTGCATTCGCTTTCGCTGGCCGAACGTCCGCTGAAGCCCTCCTCATCCGCTCCCCCTGCAGCTCCACATGTGGAACCATCACTATCCACTCCACGCAGCTTCTGGTGGATTCGCTGATGTCGAACCAAACTGTGCTTGAGGGTGAAGGTGCGCTCGCATGTCTGGCACTTGTACGGCCTCTCACCTGGTAGAAACAAGCCATCAAAACTTTGAGGTTTCAATCAGAAACAAAAGTTTATCAATCAAGAGCTGCTCATATTAAAGACGTTAGTTCACTCAAAAATGAAATTTCTGTTAATAAATATTCAACCTTATGTCAATCCAGTTGCCTGAGACATTTGTTCATCTTCAGCACACAAATGAAGATATTTCAGATTAAATCCAAGAGCTCTCTTATTCTTCATAGAAAGCAATGATACCAAGATTTGACAAAGTTGGACAAAATATTGTCTAAAGCACAGGTGTCAAAATGAGTTCCTGGAGGGCCGCAGCTTTGCACAGTTTAGTTCCAACCCTAATTGAACACACCTGATCAAACTAATTTAGTCCTTCAGGCTTGTTTGGAACCTACAGGTAAGTGTATTGGGGCATGGTTGGATCTAAACTGTGCAGGGCTGCAGCGCTCCAGAAAATGAGTTTGACAACCCTTGTCTAAAGAGTACATGCGTCTTCAGTGGTTCGACTGTAGACATACGAAGCTCCAAGAACACTTTTGTGCACCAAAAAAGGAACCAAAACCATTGTCAAAATAGTCAACGTGACTTCAGGGGTTCAACTGTAGACATATGAAGCTCTAAGAACATTTTTGTGCACTAAAACCATTGATAAACAGTCAATGTGACTTCAGTAGTTCAACTGTAGACATACGAAGCTCTAAGAAAACTTGAGCACCAAAAAAGAAGCAAAATATATTGTTAAAACAGCCAATTTGGTTCAAATATAGACATACGAAGCGCCAAGAACATTTTTGTGCACCAAATAATTACCCAAAATATTGTCGAAACAGTTAACGTGTCTTTAGTGGTTCAACTGTAGACATACGAAGCTTCAAGAAAACCTTTTGTGCACCAAAAAGTAAGCAAAAATATTGTCAAAACAGTCAACGTGACTTCAGTGGTTCGACTGTTGACATACGAAGCTCCAAGAACACTTTTGCACACCAAAAAAGAAACCAAAAATATTGTCAAAACAGTCAGCAAGACTTCAGGGGTTTAACTGTAGACATATGAAGCTCTAAGAACATTTTTGTGCACCAAATATATTGTCAAAAGAGTCAATGTGACTTCAGTAGTTCAACTGTACACATACAAAGCTCTAAGAACAGTTTTGAGCACCAAAAGAGAACCAAATATATTGTTAAAACAGCCAATGTGGTTCAACTGTAGACATACGAAGCTCCAAGAACACATTTTTGCACCAAAAGAGAACCAAAAATATTGTCAAAACAATCAGCGTGACTTCAGTGGTTCGACTGTAGACATACGAAGCTCCAAGAACACTTTTGCACACCAAAAAAGGAACCAAAAATATTGTTAAAACAGCCAATGTGGTTTAAATATAGACATACGAAGCTCCAAGAAAATTTTTGTGCACCAAAAAATAACCCAAAATATTGTCAAAACAGTCTACGTGGTTCAACTGTAGACATACGAAGCTTCAAGAACCCTTTTGTGCACAGAAAGACTTCTATGAATATAACTTTGTTCACCTAAATCTTCTCTACTGTACCAGGTAAGAGTGTGTGTTTGCTATAGGCAGTATGGTGTATTGGCATTAGAGTCAGCAGTGTGGCACGCAAGCATTGTAATGCCGGTAGTAAACTCGCACCATGATCAGGGGTAAAACTTTGCATTGAAGCCTTGTACGCTAGAACAGATTTTTGTTTATTAATTATTATGGCTTATAAGATTATATTTAACCATTTAGCAGACGCTTTTGTCTAAAGCGATCTATAAATGAGCGCTATGATGCTTTATAGTGATTTAATTAAGTTATTATTATATGTTTGTTTAAAGCTGTGCACATTCTCCTGTCAAATTGTTTTCATGGATTACATGGATTCTGTGGGAAATGGCGTATGCTTATTTTCACCCGTTTTGTGCCTATTTTTATAAAAGAGGTGCCTGATGATGAAGACAAAGGCATGATTTTACAGTTTTTTAATGGTGCACAAAACAGTTATTGGTGCTTCACGCGATTACAATTAAACCACTGAAGTCATATGAAACGTTTTGACAGTATTTTTGTATCCTTTAATAGAGATCTCTCAGCACCCGAGCTCTCAGATTTAATCTAAAATATCTCGATTTGTATTCAGAAAAAGAACAAACTTCTTTTTGGTAATTGGAAGGACATGAGGTTGAGTAATTAATAACGTAATCTTCATTTTTTTTGGATGAAGTAATCCTTTAAAGTTCTCATGAATGATTTACCAATCTATGCCTCTTTTCAGTTTTGTCTTTACCTGTGTGCGAGCGCATATGTCTAGTCAGGTCCTGAAGGCTCCAGAAGCGTTTGTTGCATATACTGCACACCTTTTTCCTTTTGTCCGGTTTGCTACCAGGTTCTCTCCCAGCACTCTTTGGTTCAGTTGCAGGTTCCTCTTCATCACTTCTCTCCTCTTTATCCTCATCAGGCCCGCTTTCCACCACGCTGCCATTTCCTTCCGTTTCAGCTTTACCCTTCCTTACGCTCTCCACTTCTTCTTCTGTAACCTCTTTCTTTTCACAAGGCACAATGGGATCATCTGATTTTGTGAGGTTTTGTCCATTAGTAACACCAGCGTCTTGTGTCATGTCCAGCTGGTGAGCTTTCTCATGTCTGGTGAGGGTTTTAACGTAGCGGAAACTCTTCTTGCATATTTTGCAGGTTAATTTAGACTCCTCGTGAGCTTTTGCTTTGTCAGATATTTCTTCATCTGCTACGGGGGAGGACTGTGGCTGCTCCTTCTCAGTAATATTGACGTCCTTTGCTTTGGAGACAAAGGTCAAGTCAAGGGTCTTATTGCTATTTAAATGGTCATCCTCTATTTCGGTGTCATTATGCTTCAAAGACTCGAGGGATGTTTTGTCATCCTCTTTTTGAGGAAGAGGCTCTACCACGGCTGCCTCTGTAGGTTTAGCTGGTGATGGTTTCTCAGCATCAGATGCTACAGACTTCTCAGGGTCTGAACTTGTTAGATCCATTGCCTCACCCATAGGAAGCTCTGCCTCAGATGTGCTATCTGAAACAAACATTGACACATAAGGTTATTTTTAACAAATGTCCAAAGTTGAAAGGATTCTTGATCTGAATGTAACAGAATGGATCATAGTTGGGTAAAACTTGGAGCGCAGTGAATGAGAGAGTACCACAAATAATTTGTTTGCATTACAATTTGCTCAAATAACAACAGAAAAACTCCATAGAAGTGTTATTATGCCTTTTAGGAAAGGAATAAAGCTGTATAGCTTACATAAAAAACAAACAATTTAAACATTAAAAACTATCGGGGATTAAGAAGTTGATGACGATTAAACACATCAATACAATCATGTGAAAGGGGTCTATTATAAAAGCAACTTTCTGTTTATGAATTAACTTTGATACCTGCGCTCTCTGGCGAGCCATCCTCTGCATCCTTAGGTTTGGGTATTACACCATTGCGTCTAAGCACTCGGTTGGAAATGCCATGCTTGCGCAAAAGATGTCTTTCACAGTTGGATTTGGTTGAGAAGAAGGCATCACATTGGGGGCAAGGATATGGCTTCTGACCTGTTTAATGAATTCAACATAATAACAAAACTAAACAACAGGGGCAACACACAGGGTCTACATCAATAATGTACACATTGTACTTATGTTATCGCACAAAACAAAAATTACCTGTGTGTGTTAGCATGTGGCGCTGAAGCGAGCTGGCCCATGGGAAAACTCTGGGACAAAATGGGCAAATCATCTTCTGCACAGAATTTGAGTACGCATTTTTCTTCCCTTTAGACTGTTGAACAGTCTGCTGGACTGGCAAGTGTTTCTCATCTTTCATCTCTTTCTCGTCACCAGCACCTGGCTGCTGCCTGCCTTTTCTTGCCAACTCGATTGTGTTGGTCTGAAGATAGGCGCTGAACTTGTTAGCATCAGTGTTTGCCAACATCCTTTCAACACTAGCAAACTCCCCACTAGACTCCAAGTCAATACTCAGGTCTGGAGCATTCATCACGGTTTTCTCTTTTGCTATGCCGTTGGAAGGCCTTTTCCTAGTCCTCTTTTTGGAGATCTCTACCGAAAGCTCCTCTTTTAGGGTCTCTGGTGATTCCTGCTTGGCAGGTGTATCAATATCAGTCTTAAGACTATTAGTGTTGTCACGTTTTAGAAGGTCAGGGGCACCGGACACAGAGGAGATGATCTGAGCAATGGATGCTAGGGGTGGAAGCTCCTTCACACCAGCAGAGGAAGGTTTAGGAAGCAGGGGTTTTAGACGCAAGGGTCTTCCTGCAGCGCTAGTGCTACCAGTAAGAGACGTCAAAGCTACAGGAACTTGGTAGCACCCAAGCGGTTGGCACTTTTCATCAATAGACTTATCAGCCTGAAGTGCCTTTGCAAGAATGCTAACAGATGAAGGTTCTTTCTTAACCGCTCTTGGTAAAGCAGCCTCGATGTCTTGTTTAAGCTTCTTCATAGGATTCTTAGGAATAGAGAGGTCAATGGGCTCCATGGAAGAGTCAAAAGAGACAGGTTCAATTTTGATCGCAGGCGATCCACTTACACTTCCAGCATTGTTGTTGTTGGCCCCTCGACTTTTGTTAGAAAAGTCTAGTGGTTGATCCATATCTACAGTGTAGAAGCTAAGGTCCTCCACCTTGATGGGCTGCACCACGTTGTTAGTAGGAACGCCATTGAGAGGAGATGGGCTTGGGCTATTTTGGGATGATGGAGCTAGAAGAGTGATTATGTGGTCTTCAATATCCTGCTCTTGGACCTCCGGATGTTGCTTCAGAAGATGATGGATGCAGTTACGTTTGGCCAGGAAGGCTGCTCCACAACGCTTGCACTCAAATGGCTTTCGCTGGCAGCCATTGTGTGTGCGCAGGTGAATCTGCAGGGCCCGAAAGGTCTTTAGGTCTTCACCACAGAAGCGGCAGGTAGTTTCACTGGTCCCAGCCTGCTCTACGACATCTGATGTTGACGTGGACGAGGTAACATACTTAATGTTTTTCTCAATCTCCTTGCGACTGCTTTTCATGTGCTTTTTGCGAAGGTGACGCTCACAGTTAGCCTTGACTGTAAACGGGTAAAGGCAGAGCCGGCAGACATAGGGTCGCTCACCACTGTGTGTTCTCAAATGACGGATCAGTGTTGCCTTGTCTGGTGCAACATAATCACATATATTACATTGGTGGGGAAGGACGCCCAAATGATAACGCATGTGTGCCTGGAGCACACCTGAGAATGCAAAGACCTGGTCACAAAATCGACAGGGGTATGAGCCTTTTTGAGATGTTCCCTTTTTTCCAGTGGTCTCTTCTAATTTGCTATTCTCCTGCTTGATATGTCTTTCATCCATGTCCATCGGAGTATGTGCATCTCCCATGCACTCCGCCTCCATTTGAATCCTCTCTGCAGAAGCCTGGTTACTGGCAGAAGAGGACGAGGAAGATGAAGAGTTCTCCCTAGCCACCTTGATGGGATGGCTGGCAGGAGGTGGAAGGCTTGGGCTGATACAGCCCAGTGAAGCTTGTTGGGTGTTCAATAGAGGCGGTGGAGTTGAAGCTACCATGCTGGTTCTGGGGGCCACCAATGGTTTTGGCTTGAGTGGAGGCATCTGCTTGTAGCCTGACTGTCCAGTACTACATGGGGCCTTGGATAAAGGTGGAAGAGCAATCTGGTTTGGAGCAGCAGAAGCTACTTTGAGTATTTGCTGTATATCTGCAAGTTCTGTGCTGGTATCACCACAAACAGGCTTCACCACCATACCACCATCTGGCTGCACCAGAAAGCCAGTCTGGAATGGCTGAAGGGACAGTAGTTTGAGAGCCTCTTGGTGGGACAAACCATGAAGAGTCGTAGGGTCTACAAGAGATAGGTTGACACTTCCAACAAGACCAGGCTCTTGAGGTACGGTGGACTGATTCGGCTCTACGTGAATAACCCGGATACTATCTAGCTTAGCCTGCAGGGCATCCTCTTCAGAAGGGGCAGGCTTGACCTGAGAGATGTGCTGCAAGCCCAGAAAGTCCATGAAGCTGCTTTTGTCATTGGGAAGCTCGTCTTTCTCAACTAAGGGTGAAGTTGTTTCTTGGGTGCCACTGGACTCCTCATGTGAGGCTTTGTGTAAGTCCAGAGCTGAGCTAAGAGGGAATGCCTTATCGCACGAGTCGCATACAAAACGATGGAATTTGCCAGTACACCGACGAAGGTTTGTTTCACACCAAATCTGTGGACAAAAGAAAAAAATGAAACTCAACGCTCAAATATTACAGACAAAATAAAGAAACAAGACCAGCTGCACATAAAGTAGAGAAAAGCTGACAGTTGATGTTACCTGGGCAATACGAGGGAACTTGAGGCATGAAAAGTCAATGAAAGCCAGATCATTAAAGCCGAGAGGGATGGATGGATTGTTCTGAATAAAGGGTCGTCCACTGGGGTCTGTGGGTAGCTGCTTATGGGTAGCTGCATTGTGGCGAAGCAAACTTCGAGGTGTCCGGAAGGAGACGCAGCATAAATCACATCTAGCAATAAGAAGAGTAATGCAAGGTTAGAATTTCAAGATGTACTACATGCAGGGCTCGAAATTGCGACCATTTTGGTCACATATGCGGTCGAAATTGTATCTATGCAACCTCAAAATATATTTGGGAGCATATCTGCGAGTGCTTAAAATTGTTGTGTGCGACCAATTTTTACTGCAAAATGTTCACCACATGCGCGGATTCGGGAGACATTCACGCAGAATGCATCTCCAAGCTCTTTATCTGCACTTGAAACGGGAAACGCAGCACTCAGAAATGGTTTAAAACAGTTGTCATGTCAACTTGCTGCAGTAAACAAAGCCAATCCGTAATGCTTGCCCCGCCTTCACGCTCTTCTTATTGGCCCACTGCTCTAGCACTGAACGCGAATGATTGGTTAATAACAGCTGTCAATCACTCAGACAGCGCCTTCTTGCTTGGGATGACAGAGAGAGCTGCTACCGCGAAAAACTAAAGCGCTGAAGATGAGAATGAAGATAACGCTGACAGATTTAGTTTTAGAAACCATGGCATCTACAGTTATAAATAAATGGCACATCTTACTAGTGACCATGTGCTGAATGTTAATCCACCATCTACACTTTTCCAAGAGTAGAAGACTTCCATTGGCTTCAAGTCCGCTATGAATAGGCTGTGGGATGGAATTTTCAGGTAATTGTTTGCTACATCTAGCACGAGAGCTTCTGTTTAATCCTTCATATAATCGCCAGATGCTGTCCGCCGTGCAAGGGGCAGGTATATGTCAAATTCAACACCACATACACCCTTACAAACAGGCTTACACTGAGTAAACTAATATCGCTAACGTTACTAATGAAAAGACCAGTATTGCTATTAACATGACGTATGCATATAATAAGGTACAGTATATGTCAAAAGCATCAGTGCAATATCAGACAGCACTTGAGAGAACAGCACAGTTATACCGTTAACAGATTCATTCAAGCAGTGCGGTCAGGGCCGATGAGCGCTCCGTGTATCTTTTAGTCACTCAGTTATAAAAATGTTATAAAATGTATTTTCTTGTGAGAACGGGATTTTGTTGAGACATATTTTTCTTACACTTGCATATATAGATTTTTTTTTGCTTGTTAGTTTGATTACTGTTGAATTCAAATGCAATAAATATGTTTGTTTAAAACGTGTAGCGTTGCTCATAATTGGTGGGTGCGACTAAATTTTGGCTGATGCGCCTACATTTTTAAAGTTAGGAGCACCGGTGCTACCAAGCAAAAAGGTTAATTTCGAGCCCTGACATGCATGTCATATATGTCATTATAAACTATTACTATTATGAATTAAAACTGTTGTCACTTCTAAAAATCTTTTTAAAATAAAATGGCCATTTTACAGTGTGCCTCAGCAAAACATGCTTTCCGGATATCTGGAATTTCCCAAGTAAATTAACTTTCAAAGTCAACAATAATCACACCTCAGTCTATAATGGTTCTCTTTCTGTGTGTATTGGGTGCTGCTAAAGACAACTGGTTAATGTCTGTGACACTGTGCATTGGTCTTGTCACATGCCCTGCCCCTGATCATGGTGACTTTGTGTCCGTAGGGACTCTAAGCTGCTTTTATCTCAACAGACATACACAATGCAATGCAAGCCAGAGCATAGCACAGCAGTAAATCCACCTGAGACACTTCCGATTGGTTTATACATTTTGTAGGATTTGCATGAGAAAGCCACGATATTTTAAACAGAGTAGAACATTTTAGCTTGCCTGTTACAAAGAGTGACCTATAATTATGCAAAGCACAAGCCTTTCCCTGTCCATGATGCAACTGTTTCTAAAGGCTTTTTGCAATGACTAAAAATGTGTCTCATCCAATCAAGTTTGACCCATTTGTTTTATTACAGCATGTCGTATATTCGGGAGTGTCCGTCTGTTTGGGTGTGATAGATAACACGTCTCTACCTTAAGAAGCATTCTAGTGTGTCAGTATGTGTGGTTATTTCAGTGCTTTTAGAACTGTTCAAAGTGGAACCCATTTCACAGCAGTCTAGATCCTCTTAACTAGCACTCTTAGCTCTTGTGATTACACAGGATTAGTGCTAAATTTGAAGCAGTTCCATACAACAATAATGCAGCTCTGAAACTGCTCTGCCAACTTCCTTTACCCACAGCCACGCCGTACAGCTATTCATTTAGCAGACGGGCAGGTCATTGGTTGGGTAACATTAGAAGGATAGTCTGCAGACTGACGTCTCCAAGGATACAGCAACCACCTCACACTCATGCATGCAGGCACACACTCTACAGAGATGTCTTACAGAATGCATCTTGCTCAAGTCTCCCCTCCTGTGTCTCATTAAATCCCCCCAGCAACACAACCTTTGGTCATCCCCCCTAAATGTTTCCTCCTTCCTCTATGAGCCACTCCCTAGCCCTAAGCCTGGGGGCCACATGCGGGGGGAAGGGAAGAATCTCTTAGGCCTCTCACCAGTGGGAGGGGGGAACGTCCACTGGATTACAGTCATTTAGCTATGCTCATTCTCAGCCAATAACATTTGAGCTTTTCATTTTCTTTGTTTTTTTAATGCGATAATAGTTTCCCAGCACAGTGCTGGGTTGCCGCTGGAAGGGCATGCGCTGTGTCAACCAGATGCCAGAATAGTTGGCGGTTCATCTCACTGATAAATCAGCGACTAATCTTGTTTCTTATCCCATACTATGGTACCTCACTCAAATTTATTTATTTAAGATGTATTTACTCTTTTAAATAACATTAGAGTGTTTTATTAAAGAAAAACAAAGCTGAACTCCAAAAGTCAAACCCATAAAACAGTATAAAAGATGTGTACCAATTTAAAATATGTAGAACATTATAAAAGATAAACCCCACTGAAACAAGATCCGCTTGGCGTAGTTAGCAAGCAAGAGGAACCCCTCAGTATTCGGATGTGTTAAATTATGACTGTACCAGCACAAAGCACATCACTATATATCCCAGCAACTGCAGGGATCCAGCCTAAAGCCCCAGCTACTGGCGTCCCCCTGCAATACAACTCTCACTCTGAACAAAGGGACAACATTCCTGTCTGAGCTTAATGGACAGCTATAATATACTGAACAGAAAAAAAACGAGTAGGAAGGGCAAGAACGGTTCCATTATCAAACCCTAAACAGTGCTTTTGTTAGCAGGCCTGTCAGTTATGAACAAGCCTCAATACCCGAGACATGTCGCATGACTCAAGATGTGTTTATGTAACATACAGATAATCATTACTATTGGAAGTAACATGGAGATGATTTTAGGCTACATCAACAGGTGCAGGGATATTTCGCCTTCATTTACGAAATGAAAAATCTCTGTCAGTGCTTGGCACTGTTGCTTCACAGCAAGAAAGTTGCTGGTTCGAGTCCTGGCTGGGCCAGTTGGCATTTCTGTGTGGAGTTTGCATGTTAACCCAATGCTCAGCCCTCAACCTGGAGGACCAGGACATACTCTCATAGACTACGGACAATTTAGTTTATTCAATTGCCCTATAGTGCATGTGTTTGGACTGTGAAGGAAACCGGAGCACCCGGAGGAAACCAACGCCAACACAGGGAGAACATGCAAACTCCACACAGAAATGCCAACTGGCTCAGCCTGGACTTGAAACAGTGACCTTCTTGCTGTGAGGCAACATCTCTACCGACTGCACCACCGTGTTGCCCCCAAATGCATGCATATATATGTATGTATGTGTATGTGTATGTATATATATATATATAATATATATAATATATATAATCTATTAATTGATGATCTATCATCTTATTATTTAAGATACAAATCAGAGCAAACTGACATGTTATTTTGACATTGACCCCCTCTAATTAATGTTTGATCCTTCCTGACCAATCTCCCCCCAAACCCCCCCTGTAATTTGCACCCTGTTTGTACCTTAATGTAGTGTCGGGATGGATTTCCATGTGGGTGTCGTAGTCATTTTTGCAGGTGAAGTTCTTGAAGCAGATCGAGCAGGTCAAGAGCTCGTCCTGTCCTTTGTTCGATCCCTGCTCATCTGCTCCACTGTCCTCCAGCACCTGCGGATCACAGGTCACCCATCATCTACTTTTAGCCAAATCTGGAAGTCCTAGAGAGCAGGTAAGACAGTGGAGCTACATTTACCTTTTTGCTGGACGGCTCCTCTGTCTTCTCGCAGTCTTCATCTTGACTTAGTTTGCGTTTGGCTGTGGAGGAACGCCGTCGCTTAGTTGGGGAGAGAGTCGGACTGTTGGGGATGGAGCTGGCAGAGTCCTTCTCATGGATCTTCATGTGTCTGAAAACAAACATAAGAGTGTGCTATAAAACGGCTTTCTATAACCCGGATGTCACTATAAATGGCTGTTTCCATCCAAAGATGCGAATGAGACGCAAAACTGGAATAACGCATAAAATATTTGTCTTAAAGCACTTTTTCCCTTCCTTTTTTATTTTATGTTTATTTTTAACTCTCAATTGAGTACAATCGAACAATATTTCAAGGTGCATTTGGGTCTCATTATACGATCTTAAATCATATACAATTTCTATACATTATTGTTAGGTGTACTAATTATACATAATACATAATAATCAACTTTTTTAAATTGTAAAAAAAAAAAAATAGCATAAAAGAACAGAAGAAAATATTAATAATAAAAATTAAGAGTTTTTACATGCAGGGTGAGAATGTGTGGTCTAATATAATTCCTTCCAGAATAATTTCAAATGACCACCTTCATTATACACATAATACATTGCAAATACATGCACATAATACACATATACTGCAAATATAGATGTATAACCACATATAGGAGTACACCCCTCACAAATCTCTCTTTTAAATTAACATTATCTATAGGATGCTTTACAATGTTATATTTGTGCATGTACATTACATTGGTCAGATCTGAGGCCAAATCTAGAGCTAATTTAATGAAATAATTTATAATAACGGTCCAAAAATTAGTAGCCCAAATTTATATATTAGGGAAAAATATTAAATATAAATGTTAAAAAGAGCAAAATTCAAGAGAAACAAAAAATACAAAAAAGAAAATGACAGAATTCTTGTGGTTTGCAATTTTATGTTTGCAATATTTCACCTGATTTTAAATGTCTTCTCTTTCTATTTATTTTTTATGATTTTAACTTTATTGATTTTTCTTATTTTAAATAATGCAGATGAATATCAAATACAGAGCATTAACAAAAAATGCAGAACAATACAACATAAATAAATACAATAAATTAATAACATCATATAAATTGCAAAAGTAAACCAAAACACACACAAGAAAAAGAAAAAAAGGAAAAAGGAAAAAAAAGAGAAATAAAAGAAAAAAAAGGGGGGGGGGTGAGGTGTTGCTAATATCATAACCTTAATTATTATTTTGTCTCGTAACATGTTTACTAACATTGTGGATCGCAGAAATTAGGAAATTTTCCCCATTTATCAAAATAAATTTCAGTTCTTCCATGTAAACTATAGGAGAGTTTTTCACAAGCTGCAACTCGTCCTAACTGAGATCTAGTTGGAGATTGGAGGACTTTATCTTTCTATTTCTAAATATGTTTGGTGAATAAAATGTTTAAATAAATATATCTTATTAATAAATCTGTTTTGTTCAAAATCTCTTGCTGTAGCTCTTTGAGTGTGATTGCTTTTTTACTAAACAACAACTTACTTTCTAGAGGCTTCTCTCTTTCAAATATCAACAGCATCCTGTATTTCTTTCCCGTATTCTTGACTATACGTACAGTGCATTCCCAAAATATATGCACTTTTTTATTTCAATGAGTCGGTGAGAATAAAATCGCCACTTCCTGATAAACTGGTCCCACAAAATTAGACGTATAAATGTAGTTTTGTGCATTGGGAGAAGCCCCTGTGGGCTTTTATCTTCTCTAACAAATGAGTTACGCCTCAGAAGACAAAACAAAATGCAATGAATGCAATGTAGTGGCTTTTGGAGGCTTGAGACGATCTTTGGGAGTGCAGATAGATGCTCAAGACAGTTCAGGAGGGAACAATAATAAAACTGAAGCCCTGTGATGACTTACTGACGGCTGAGGGGTTTTAGAAATAAGCAAAACAACATTTCAGATGCTTTACAATGTGATGGAAACACTGCAAAGTGCATTAATGCATCCCATCACACACATTTCAATAATCTTAAATCAAAATGACATGACTTTTCAATGAGCATGCCGGAATTTATTTGGTAAATGTGTTTTTTCTTGTCAAATAAAAGTCTGTCCTACTCAGCTGTGTGTGTAAACATATTTCCCTGCGCATTATCTAAATTCATGCACATATTGGCGTTTCCATAAACCATTTTAGCATACGATATTCATAGAAATAGCTGAATGTAAACATATCTATCGTTTCCATGTTACAAATCTGCCTGTGCTCGACAGTGTTAATGGTTGTAAAACAACTGCTTTGGACGGAGTTGAATCTTGAGGAGATTTCCAGATGGCTCCAACTTGGAGGATGGATGACTAGTGAATAACACTGCAGAAATTGAGGGTTGAGGAACCCCTTCTCATTCCATTGGGAGCCAACAGAAATGACTATAATGGGAAGATCCTAAATGAGCTGTAAACACTCCTGTAATTATCCCACAGCCTCTGTATGTGCATATGTGGAGCCCAAGATGGCGGGTGGAGATCAGCGGAAGAGAGTGGTAATGTTGCATGGAGAGGGCCAGAAGTTGATCTTGAGGAAACCAGTAAGAGTAGGAGAAGGAATTTGAGACCCAAAGTATTAGATTAGAGATGTAACGTAGTAAATCACAGTTATAGTGACCGAAATGATCTCAGTCATTCATTTTCCTTTGGCTTAGTCCCTTATTTATCAAGAGTCGCCACAGCAGAATGAACTGCCAACTCCAGCATATGTTTTACACAGCTGATGCCCTTCCAGCTGCAACCCAATAGTGGGAAAATGGTTTGTTCAAATAGGTTTTTCGAAAAATTTCAAAACAGCGAAAACATTTTCTTGTTGGAAAATGAGGTCATAGGGTGCTGAGCGGACTGAGCCAAGGATTCAGAGGAAAAGGGAATTTAGATTGTAGCCCATTCGGTTCAAAAGCTATAAAGATAAACATAAGTTTGGACAAGTGGTGGCGCTAGAGAGTTTGAGTTAGAGATTTCAGGGTTGCTGTGGTTCATGTTCTTTGTGCTAAATTATACAACTTTCCCACATTCAGTTATATCCTCCAGAGACCCAAAGACTTTTTTTTTCTTTTTTTCTGTGATTTCCTGCATCCTTTAGGTTAAAAAAATCTACAATTTAGAGTTTTTACATGTTGCTTTTATTTTTAATTTTACAGCATGTCCACTGCAGTGGACCACAGGACCCTTTTATTTCAAAACAACTGCCACTCAGACAACAAAACTGTACAGGGGATGGCTGTAAAGGGATATTAATCCAATATTAATGTAACAGAAACAAAACAAATGCCATTTTTTCCTTTTGTATTTAAATTCCTGAAACAGTTTAGTCTAAAAGAGAGCCAAAAAAAAAAAAAAACATTTGAAATAATCAAAAACAATTTTAACAAAAAAGTGATTTAAAACTGATTGTCATTCTCTAATTGTCTGATTGTCAGACTCTAAATCAGAGTCTCCCTAAACTATTTTATAAAGAGTCCTCTCTGCTTCAGTTCTGCCTCCTACAACATGCAGTCATTAATTACATTAAGATGGTCCTGGTGTCCACTATAGTGGACATTTAAAAAAGATTGATATTTTGAAACACAATTTTGTATTTTGACACGTTAGCAGCTTTGAAAGCTAAATGTATTGTTCCTGAAACTTTAATAAACAAATATATGTGTAATAATAATAGTAAAAAAAAACATTTTAAAAGCTCAATTGTACATGCCTCTCTCTTTCCCATAAAATGTGCTTTTTTGTATGGCGGCCATTTTAGATGCAGTGTAAGAAGTGGTTCGTAGCATGCCAGCCAATCAAATGACATATCACTAGAAAGCCCAGGATGTCCTCTGAACATTACCAGGACTTGACAGAGAAGATCAAATAATTAAAAGGAAAATTCAAGAAAACACAATGTCCACTACAGAGGACACAAGTCCATGACACAGGTCTCAGGAAGATAAGTGAAGAAACGTAATTATACTAATAATAATAGGAACGCCAACAAAAACAAATGCAAATCTGCAATAGTCACATTGCAAAACATGCAATGTCAAGTTGGGATTATAATTAACCCACAACCACAATTCAGAGACATGATTTGATTGCAAATTAACCCTAATAAATATAATAGTGTGAAAGATTTTATTTTATTTTATTTTATTACATATTTTTGCATTTTCAAGGCCTTTGACTAAGACTTCAATTGAATTTAAACCATTTGGGCTCTAAAAAATATAAAATTTGTCACTTGAACAAAGAATAATTGCGTCTATGTACGGTGTTCAGCATATATAAGTACACCCCTCTCAAATCTCTATTTTAAATTCATATTTTAATAGGAAGCTATGCAATATTATATGTGTGCTTTACAGTAGGTTAGTCAGTATTGAAGCCAAATCTGGAGCTTATCTAACAAAATAACTTACGTTAACTGTCCAAAAACTAGTACAGCAAAATATATATTTATTTGTCATTTCATATGAAAAATGTCATTTCATTTCATTTTCTTGTTGGCTTAGTCCCTTTAATAATCCGGGGTCGCCACAGCGGAATGAACTGCCAACTTATCCAGCAAGTTTTTACGCAGCACATGCCCTTCCAGCCGCAGCCCATCACTGGGAAAGCCAAATGTATATGTTATAGAAAAATCTCTGTCATATATAATGCCATATGCTATATGGCATTTGTGTGTGGAGTTTGCATGTTCTCCCTGTGTTGGTGTGGGTTTCCTCCACAGTCCAAACACATGCGCTATAGGAGAATTGAAGTACTTTAAGTGTATGTGTTTGTGTGTGAATGAGTGTGTATGGGTGTTTCCCAGTACTGGGATGCGGTCGGAAGGGCATCCGCTGTGTAAAACATATGGGGAAATAGTTGGTGGTTCATTCCACTGCAGAGACCCCAGATAAATAAGGGACTAAACCAAAGAAAAATAAATGAATATACACTTAATAACCGCCCATGTTAGCATGCATTTACATTGCAACCTTTCACAATTACCTAATCACAGGGTTACAGGATTTACCAAGGGTTTCAATACCGCGATGATCGATTTTAAATAGTAATACTATAAATCTAACAGATATTTAGTGAAATATCTCACATCCAGTTTTACAACTCTATTTTACT